TCTCTACTATAAATAGAAAGAAATTAATTGGCCAACTAATATATATAGAAAAAATTAGCCGGGCATGGTGGCGCATGCCTGTAGTCCCAGCTACTCGGAAGGCTGAGGCAGCAGGATCACTTGAGCCCAGGAGTTTGAGGTTGCTGTGAGCTAGGCTGACGCCATGGCACTCACTCTAGCCTGGGCAACAAAGCGAGACTCTGTCTCAAAAAAGAAAAAAAGAAGTGAATCAGAGGTAGTCCCTGGTCTCAGGGGGCTCACAGTCTTAGGGCACCAAATGGAAAGAACATGTCAGGTTTCAAGTGTTTTGGGAGCCACAGTAGGCATGTATCCCCATCTGGGGGATCTTGGAGGGCTTCCTGGAGGTGGCAGATGATGACTGGTCTGAGTCCTGAGTCTTAGGGGGGCTACTGGAGGAAGGGGGTGGAGAGTGGGAAGTGCACGTGGGAGGAGAGCCTTAAGGACAGATGGGCCTGGGCCCCTTTGGGACCTGGAGGGAGCTTCACGCAGTAGAAGCCTGGAGCCTAGGGCCCCCAAGGGACAGGGAGAGGAGCTGGAGCAAGCCGAGGGGCTCCCGTGCCGTCCTAAGGGCAACAGGGGAGCAGGGTCGGCTCCCTGTTTTAAAGAGCCCCTGCTGGGGGTGTGCAGACGGGACAAGAGGGAAAACCAGAGTCTGAAAGCCAGGGAAGGGGCTGAAGCAGATCACAGCCACGGGGACCAGGATAAGCAACTGCATCCAAGAGACGGAAGCACTCAGTGGCCAGGGCTGGGGACGGTGGGAGGAGCCGGGCAGCACCCAGTAGCCAGGTCAGATCCTCCCAGTCCCCCAGGTGCCCCCACCTGCCAGGGGTCGAGATGGTGCAGGGCAAGGTGTTGGGAGCCCTGACAAGGACATTTTGCAAGGGGATTTATTGTGGAACTGCCGAAGGGCCTGGCTTTGTGCCCGGCACCACGTCCTACCCCAAGAGAAAGAAAGTCCCAGGAAGCCCTGAAAAGTGACATGTGGGAACGTGCCAGAATGGAAGGACGGGGTCTGGGTTCTCACAGGCCATGAGATTGGGACCAGGTTGAACCAGATCTCCCGAGGACGGCAGGGGGCAGGGGCATCAGCTGACTTCTGACTAATAACAAAATAATAGCTCCTGTTTGTTGAACTACTTACTGTACTCTGGGCCCTGTGCCATGAATTTTACATACACCACTTCATTTCATCCTCACAACACCCCGAGTAACAACATCACAACAATAATAACAGCTAACATTTGCATTGCACTTAGCCAGGTCCCAGCACTCTTCTCAGCACTTAACATGCACTAGCTCAGTTTTTCTTTTTTCTTTTTATTTGTTTATTTATTTGAGACAGGGTCTCACTCTACTGCCCAGGCTAGAGTGCCGTGACGTCAGCCTAGCTAGGAGCAACCTCAAACTCCTGGGCTCAAGCAATCCTCCTGCCTCAGCCTCCTGAATAGCTGGGACTACAGGCACGTACCATGATGCCTGGCTAATTTTTCTATTTTTTGTAGAGACAGGGTCTCACTCTTGCTCAGGCTGGCCTCAAACTCCTGAGCTCAAGCAATCCTCCCGCCTCAGCCTCCCAGAGTGCTGGGATTACAGGCGTGAGCCACCACACCCGGCCTCTGGTGAGGCTTTGATGCTCATTTGACTGATACTCTCTCCACCCTCCCAGCCTGGCTAATGCCTGCTTAATTCCAGCCTGCTCTTCCAAGAAGCCTCCCCAATCTCCCAGGCTGGGTTGGCTACATTCTGTGTGTCAATTGTGGCTTCCTATAATTAACTGCCTGATTCTAATTTCACCTCCCTCGCAGATTGAGACATCCTGAAGCCAGGACGCTTGGTGCCATGGTGTGTCCCCAGGGCCTACACCAGAGGCTGACTCACGGGCCAAGCACACACTGAAGAGGAACAGGTTGGAGGGAAGACAAGGCCTTGATGGTGGCCTTGAGCCTGAGGCTGTTTGGGTCTGGAGATCCTGAGTAAAGTCTGGGCTAGAGACAGAGGTGAGTGGTTAGCACAGATGATAACAAAAGGCAAGGTCAAGAGATCAAGGTCATTGCGAGAGAGAATACAAAGAAGACAGGAGGGCTGAGGACAGATCTTGGGGAAGCACAGCATTAGAGGGTTAGAAAGAAAGAGAATCCCACAAAGGAGACACGGGAGGAGCTGGGAAGTAGGTAGAGAAGCAGGAACAGAAAAGAAAGATGGTTCCCAATGAACCACACCTGGCACTCACGCCCTGCTGCTGTCCCCTCCCACTGAACCTGCGCTGGCTCTGTGACGTGTTATTGACTAACGTGAAGGAAGTGGTGTTCCAGCACTTCCAAGCCCAACTTGTAAGAAGTCTGGAGATTCCACCTGGGTCTCCTGAGCTCCCTTTCTAGGGGAAGTCAACCACCTCGGAGGAAGTCAGACTACAGACTATCCTGAGTCTGCCATGCTGGGAGGAAGCCCAAGCTAGCCACATGCAGTGGCCACATGAAGAAAGGGAGCGAGGCGTCCAGCTGGCCCCCAGTTTTGCAGGCATCCCATTCCATCCCATCTGAAGCACCAGACACAAGGGAAAAGCCATCTTGGACGTCCCGCCCAGTGGAGCCTTAGATAACCCCAGGCCAACTGCCGTTGGACCGGAACTGCAAAAAGATACAAAGAGAACTGCCCAGTTGAGCCAGGTCAACCCATGATACTATGAGTTATTATAAAGTACCGACATTCTAGGCCATTACATTGTGATAGGCAGTTGGTTACGCAGCAACAGACAACTGAAACAGTTGGCAATTTAATAACTACACAGCTATCTGGGGTTGACAAGACATTATTGTTCCCATTTAACAGATGGGAAATAAAGGCCAGAGAGAGGTGACTCAGCAAGGTTCACATAGCCAGCTGGAGGCAGCAGCGGGGGTCTGAACTCGGCAGGTTTGCCTGATACTATGTGTATGCTCTTTCCAAAGCACACGCCTGGCTGCCCAAGGGGGTTGACCAGACTTTGCAGCCAAATCGTGTGGTTTTGGCCAAATTCCCTGCGTGACTTAAGTAACAAGGATGTTCCTCAGGTGGCTTATCTGGGCACCTGCTGGAACCCTTATTCTTTTGTAAAGCAGGGTTTTGTTTTTTTTTTCTATTGAGACATGATTCATACACAGTAAAATGCACAAATCCTAAGTGTCCAGCATGGTGAAATTTTACATGCGTACATACCCATGTGACCGCCACCCAGATAGAGACATGGAACATTTCTGGCACCAGAATGTTCCCTTTACCCACTGCCAGTCAATGCCCCCACCAACGCAGAGGTACCCATGACTATCACTATAGTGAGTTTTGCCTATTTTTGAATTCATGTAAGCGGAATCATACCGCATGTGTTCCTTTGTGGCTGATGCCTTTTGCTCAATGTTATGTCCGGAAGATTCATCTGTACTTTCGTGTAGCTGTAATTCTTTTAATTGCTGTAATGTATGAATATACCACCATTTATTTACTCATTCTACTGTTGATGGACAATTGTACTATTTCCAGATGGGCTACTGTGAATAAGGTTGATAAGAGTATTATTGTACTAGACGTTGTAGACTTAAGCACTCATTTCTCTTGGGTGTGTTCACAGGAATGGAAATGCTAGACCATGGGGTAGATGGATGTTTAACATTGTAAGAATCTGCCAGTTTCCCACATGGTTGTGTGAAGTACACTCCCACCAGCAGTGCATGAGAATTCAGTTTCCCACATCCTCGCCTCGTCGACGCTTGGTACTGTCAGTCCTTTTTTTTTTTTTTTGAGACAGAGTCTCACTCTGTTGCCTGGGCTGGAGTGCTGTGGCGTCAGCCTTGCTTACAACAACCTCAAACTCTTGGGCTTAAGCGATCCTCCTGCCTCAGCCTCCCGAGTAGCTGGGACTACAGACATGCGCCACCATGCCCGGCTAATTTTTTCTATGTATTTTTAGTTGGCCATTTAATTTCTTTCAACTTTTAGCAGAGATGGGGTCTCATTCTGGCTCAGGCTGGTCTCGAACTCCTGATCTTGAGCAATCCGCCCGCCTCGGCCTCCCAGAGTGCTAGGATTACAGGCGTGAGCCACTGTGCCTGGCCAAGATGTCAGTCCTTTTAATTCGAGCTATTGTAATAGCGGGATGAGATCTCATCATTGGAGCCCCTTTCCACAGCTGGCCTGGTGTTGATGTCGGCTCCCCCAGGCAGCCCTGAGCAGGGCGTGGGGTGGGAGGGAGGCCAGCGAGGAAGATGTTGCTACAGCCCGGGCGTGTCGGGCTGAGCCAGGATGGAGGCAGAGGATGGGATCAAGGGCTGCCCAGGAGGACTGGTGAGGTCCGTCTCCTGTGGGTCTTCCCTAAATACGCCAGGGATATTCACAGGACTTTTGCTCCGGCTGCTGCCTCTGCTCGGAGTGCCCCTCCTGATCTTTCCATCTGGAAAAGTCGTATTTCAGCGTCGCTTCCAAAAGCACTCTCAGCCCGCAGGCTGGGTCGGGGTCTCCTGAGTTCTCACAGCCTTCTGGGAGCAGCAGGATGCGGCCGCTCCCCAGCCCCACGTGACCCTCCCCCCTATTAGAATAGCTCTAATGAAAAGGACTGACGGCCGGGTGCGGTGGCTCACACAGGTAGTTCAAGCACTCTAGGAGGCTGAGTTGGGAGGAGCGCTTGATGCCAAGAGTTCAAGACCAGCCTGGGCAACATAGTGAAACCCTGTCTCTACAAAAAGTTAAAAAATTAGCTGGTTTATGTGAATCACTGGGGGTCCTGTTAAAATGCAGATTCTGATTCAGTAGGTTGGGGGGGGGGTGATATTTCTAATACACTCCCTACTGCTGCTGCCAGCCTGGAAGCCACACCTCCCCTCACGGGGGAACCGGATTCTCAACCCTGCCCTCCTGATGCCACTGCTTCAGGAAGGGTGGGGGGTGGGAGCCACTTTAAGAAACCCCAATCTCCATGTCCATTCTGCCCAGCCATCCAGGACACCAGAGCTGCTGGAACATTTTATTAAGTTAAGAAGGTTCATGGGACAGGAGAGAAGTGCCTTCACGGGTGGCTCCAGGAGTTCCATGCCCAGCACACCCTCCTCAGAGGTGGGGCCATGGGTACAGCTGCTGGCTCCCTCTGTCCATCTGTCCCTCTGTCCAGAGTCCCAGGGTATGAGTCCATTCAGGGTGGAAGTGTTAGTAGGAGGTAGGGTAGGAAGAGGGTGCCTGGCTCCCTGCCTCTCCCCACCAGAGACAAACCACCGTGGCCGCTGCCTGGGCCCCTGCCAGACCCTTGGGGACAGGCCACCAGCCCCGAAGTCCAAGCAGAAGGTGGCTGGAGACAGAGCGGGAGCCAGGGTTGGAGGCACATGGCCACCAGGAATTGCTTTTTTTTTAAAAGTATAAAGTGTTTTGGGAAAAAAAAGGAAAAAAATCTATATAAAAATCTCTTCACATATAAAATCCTGAAGAAGGTGCAAGGTAAGACCCAGTGCGAGGGGCGCGCTCAGATATGCAGAGTGTGTGTGTGTGTGTGTGTGTACATACGTGTGTGTGTGTGTGTGTGTGTGGTGGGTGTGAGTGAACGTGTGGCCCACAGAGGGTGGGGAAAGCTTGGCTTCTGATGTCCATCCCGCAGGGAAGGAGGGTGCCGGGCCTCTCGCGCTGGAGGGCGTGCAGCTGGGCGGACCACGAGGACCTGGAAGACAAGGGCAGGCTGGGCTGAGGCCAGGGTGGCATGTGGGTCCTCAGCCTCCTCCCAGCCCTCAGCCTCCTCCCAGCCCCGACGGCTGAGCCAGGTCTGCTCCCCGGCATTTCTCCCCATACAACCTGGCCCACAGGGTGGCCTCGCTCGTGAGCCTTAGGGAGTCACAAGGCCTTGTCAGACAAAGGACACTCGGGCAGACGTGGCATTAGGAAAGGCATAAGAAAAACGCTTTAAGCCCTGCTAAATTAAGAACTGCAAGACTCTACTGCACAGAGTCTCGGCCTTGAGAAGTGATGTCGGAGGATCTGCATGCCCCTGGATCTGCCACCAAGAGGGGCGTCAACTATTCGGAGTCAGGCTGAGGATCTGCGCTGCGCTCCCATCTCTGAGGAAATGTGCTCAAGCCGATGGGCAGCCTCTGCCCCGGTCTGGCTGGGTCTCCTCGACAACTCCGTGTTGCTGGTGCCATCGTCCCACTTACAGGAAGGGAAATGGAGGCCAGGAGAAGGAAGTGCCATGGTCTAGGTGGCCCACTGAGTCATGCATGGGTGAGCTGTGAGCTCACACCTCCAGGCCTGGGGTGCCCGCGGCTTCACCCCTGCACACCCTGGCGGACCCGCACCCCGGCACCCACCTCTACTCAGCCAGGCTGTTGCGCACCGACTGCTTCTCTTGCAGGGCGGCCATGGCGAGGCGCAGGTGCTCCTTCAGCTGCTCGATCTCCCGCTCCGATCGAGTCTTGATGTGGTTCAGCTCCACGTAGACATCCTGGTACTTTCCCGAGGCAAAGCGCTTATCCTGAGGGGTGGGGACGGGGCTATGAGTGCACAATGACACCCCCTCCCCGCCTGCCCACCTGGCACACGCCTCCTCTGCTCCTGGCCAGCCAGCTGAGCAGCCCCTACATTTCATCCCCCCAGGTGGCCCCCAGGTGGCCCTGGCACTGGCACACCCTTCCTGGTACTACGCAGGGACACAGGTTGCACTGTCACTTTCATCCCGTGTGAGAGCTGAGAGCAGGAGGCGAAGCTCGTGCCCAAGTTCGCAGGGCAGTGAATGGCCGGGATGAGAACCAGGCCAGCCCCGCCCGGCACTGTCTTCCCCTGAGTTCCGCTGCCAGACGGCCAGAGCCACCGACACGCCCGTTTCCGGCCCAGACTGGCAGAGGGCGCCACAGCAGGAATGCGGCAGCCAAGGGTGGCCCGGACAGGCCATGGACTCAGCCCTGGGCCTGAATCTGGCCCTTCCAACTCCTGGCAAGGTCGCTTATTCCTCCCTGGGATGCAAGCTCCACACGGAAGGGATTTTGGTCTATTTTGTTCACCGCTACGTCCCCAGCACCTAGCACCGCGCCTGGCACGCTGTAGGTGCTCAACAATAATAAATTAATTAATTAATGCGTTATAAATAAAATCGAGTGTGGCCCTGGGCAAGTCACTTCCCCTTTCTTAGCCTAGTTTGCTGGTTGGTAAAGGCAGATGATGACACCTCACGGGAGAGGCACCGAGAGCCTGAGAAGTGCGGAGGCGAGGAGGGTGCCGGCGGAGAGCACCCTCCCTGCTGACACCCCACCCTGCGGACACCCCCGCCCGGCAGCCGGGACCCACCTTCTGCATGGTCTGCAGCTCATCCCGGAGGCACTGCACCTCCTTTTTCAGGTACTGAAGCTCATTCTCCTTCACTCGCAGCAGCACCTGGGGGCACGGGGGCAGGCTGACCCGGGCCCAGAGGCCCACAGCAGCCTGTGGCCTGGCTTCTCCCTGCCGAGAGCCCCTGGAAAGCAGCCCCAGCCTGCACCAAGATCCTCTCCCTCGGAGCAGACTTCTCCGGCAAGCCCTTCTGACCCTCCTGCTTGCCCGCCCTCCCTCCCTCCCCCCGTGGCCCGTGAGCGGACACCTGTGGCCAGCGCTGCTGCAGCCCAACACAGTGCTGGGCCCTCCTCGGGGGTGAGGAGGGTGAGGGGGGCGAGAGGAGGCCATGGTGTGGCCCTGCTTAACCCAGAGCAGGAGGGGCCTCCCAACCCTGAGGGGCAGGTGTTGCTGACTTGACTGAAAGGGAGACAGATTCGCCGGGGCTGCAGAGGCTAAAAGCTTAGACTGGAGCTGGCCTGCCTGGTTTAAATCCCAGCCTGCCAGGTTCAAATCCCAGCTCGCTGTGCGACCGTCAGGAAGGTACTGGCCACCCGTGTCTCAGTTTCCTCGACTGTGAAATAGGGACAATAACAGTATCTAATGCGTGGGGCTGTTAGGAAGATTCAAATAATAAACAGGGCATATAGAAGCTCTAGATACTGAGTGGAGTCTGATGTGAGTGTCCGTTAAAGAAATAAAAGAAATACTAGGGCATTTTCTCCCTCCAACTTCTCCCAGTAAGGGAGGTGCTAATGCCATTTTATAGATGAGCTACTAGGAATCAGAAAGGGAGGGTGACATGCCACGGTAACATAGTAGGTAGGTGACAGGACCCAAATGGGAGCGTGGGACTCTGGCTGCTGGGTGCATGGCAGGCGTTCTGGCTTGGCTGGGTGGCCCAGCACCTGGGAGACCTGGTGCTTCCCGCTACAGGCGACACGCAGCCCGTTAGGGGCTTGCCGACAGCCCCAGGCCCAGGGGAGGACGCCCACCTCCAGTTCGCAGGAGCTCCGCTCGTTGCTGCGCCCACAGCCGTTGCCCTGGGAAGCGATGAAGCTGCGCAGCCGGTCGATCTCCTCTGACAGGCGGGCATGCAGCTCCTGGGAGGGCGAGATGGTCAGGCAGGGATGAGGGACCCACCCATGCCGCCCACCTTCCTGGGGCCAGGCCCACCTGGTTGTGGCGTAGCAGCTCCTGGCCCTCCTGCTGGCAGCGCCGCAGCGTGTGCTCACGCTCCTCAGCCTGCCGCGTCAGGGCCCCGATCTCCAGGCACTTCTGGGAGTACTGCTCCGATAGCACCTGCAGCTCCCGCTTCAGCGCCTCCACATCTGACCTGCCCCAGAGGAGGAGGGAAGGATGGCGTGGGCTCCCTGGCTCCTGCCAAGCCTAGAGTCAGGTCATGGCAGACTCAAGGCTGCACAGGACTCCGGGGTTCCTTCCCTAGTGTTGCCTTCAGCCTGCTGTGGGGCTGCAAATCAGTGACAGTCTCTCTGGGCTGCAGGTGCCTCTTCTCTAACAGGGTGGCTTGGAGAAGCAATCTCTAAAGCCCCTGTAGCGCCAACATTCCAGAACTCTGCTCAGTGGCAGGGAAACACCTACTGGTCAAGAGTGACACTGCAGCCCAGCTCTAGGGGACACTACAAGGGTGAAGAGCAGGGCATAGGCCAGGACTAGCTGGGATAAGAAGGGGCCTGAAAAACTGTCTATGAGGACTGGTATGGGGGTCTGGCTGAGGCCTCGCTGCTTCTGAGACCCCTCCTTGCTGTCCATGAGACTAGAGGAGTGGTCTCAGCTGGGGCCAAAGTGATAAGTCCTCTGCCAATGGGCCTTTAGAAAGCTCCCCAACTCATTAGATGAGTAGGCAGTGGGGCCCAGGCGCCATCTTACTGGTGCTGCTTCCGGAGGCCATCTGGGCCCTGCTGGAGGCTCCGTGTTTTGCTCAACTCCCGGCTCAGCTCTTCCTGGTAGGCCTTCTTCATGGCTTCAATGGCTGGAAGCAGAGCAGAGAAGCAGAGAGACTGGAGAGGAGTCAGCAGCACCAAGATACATCTCCTCTGATACTCCCCATGTACCACTGGGGACAGGACCAGGGAGTGGTGTGCAAAGAGCACTGGACCAGGAGTCCAGAGCAGCCCAGGCTGTGTCATGAACTGAGTGACTTTAGGTAAGTTGTTCAACCTCTCTGAGCCTCTCAATAAAGGGAGGATAATCCTGTCTATTGAACTCTGCTGGGGAGACATCTCAGTGAGCACTGGTACCTCCTGTTGCTAGTGATCTCTGGGTAAGAACCTCACAGTGCACCATCTCTGCAGGGCCTGGAGGGCTCTCCACAAGGCCTATCTGCCTCGCCCAGCCTCATGGTCAAGAGCTTGGACTGTGCAGTCAGTTCAAATCTATGTGACTCTGCACAGGTGACTTAACCCTTTGTGCCTCGGGTCCCTTATCTGGAAATGGATATAACAACAGCGCCTTCCTCCACAGGATTATTGGAAGATGCGTGTGGAGCACTGAGAACAAGGCATGGCTCAGAGCAAATGCCCAAATGTTAGCTCCTGCTGGGCTTGCTTCTCGGACTTCAAGCCAAGGACCCAGGCTTTCTTCACACCCACACAGGTTGTTGTGAGGATCAAACAAGCTTCATCCAGAGTTTTATCCACAATTTCAAAATCCCAAAGCTCCTGCAGTGGCTCACGCCAGTAATCCTAGCACTCTGGGAGGCCGAGGTGGACCGATGGTTTGAGCTCAGGAGTTCGAGACCAGCCTGAGCAAGAGTGAAACCCCGTCTCTACTAAAAATAGAAATAAATTAATTGGCCAACTAAACATACATAGAAAAAAAATTAGCTGGCCATGGTGGCACATGCCTGTAGTTCTAGCTACTCAGGAGGCTGAGGCAGAAGGATCGCTTAAGCCCAGGAGTTTGAGGTTGCTGTGAGCTAGGCTAATGCCACGGCACTCTAGCCCCGGCAACAGAGTGAGACTCTGTCTAAAAAAAAAAAAAAAAAAAAAAATCCCAAAGCTCCGAACACTTAAAGTTTCTTTTTCTTTTTTTTTTTTTTTTTGAGACAGAGTTTTGGTTTGTTGCCCAGGCTAGAGTGAGTGCCATGGTGTCAGCCTAGCTCACAGCAACCTCAAACTCCTGGGCTCAAGCAATCCTCCTGCCTCAGCCTCCCGAGTAGCTGGGACTACAGGCATGCGCCACCATGTCTGGCTAATTTTTTCTATATATGTTAGTTGGCCAATTAATTTGTTTCTATTTATAGTAGAGACAGGGTCTCGCTCTTGCTCAGGGTGGTTTCGAACTCCTGACCTTGAGCAATCCGCCCGCCTTGGCCTCCCAGAGTGCTAGGATTACAGGTGTGAGCCACTGCGCCCGGCCTAAAGTTTCTTATTACCCTTTTGGAGGCAATCCCCTACCTGAGCAGACATGAGGCTACTTTTGATCTTTATTCTCTCATCCAATGTGACTTTCATCAATTTCACTGCTAGATCAGGGCAAAGCCCAGACCCTGCTGAGGGCCACGGGGTGTCTAATAAATGGGGCCTGCGCTGGGCAGTCTTCCTAAAATGCAAAACTGGCCCTAGGCTCGGCTTGAGTGCATGAAGCACTTGGCAAAAGCACCAGCAGGCTGTGAGCTCCGCATCGTGTGACCCCGTCTGTCATTCCTGTCACTCTGTGAGCCCCTCCGTGCCTAGGATGCTCCCGGCACAAGGCACAGTGGACGGAGGGCGGGTGGGAACTGTCCGCCATCTCAGGCATTTCCTGTTGCTGGCTTGGGAGACCAGAGGGTGGGGTCCAAGCATGGCTTTGCAGTCAGTGTGCTGGGCTTCAGTTCCAGCTCTGCCACCTCTAAGCTGCGCCATCTGGGAAGAGTCACTGACCTCTCTGAGCACCCGTTTCCTTCTCTGTGAAAAGGGGCCACTGAAGGACTAAGGGTGTTCCCGTGGGGGACGTGCGGGCCCAGTGCCTGGCACACAGTGGGCTTGGCAGTGCTCGCACCTTCCCCCCGCTGTCCCGAAGGCCTGGCCGCGTGCCAGGGAGACGGTATTCCCGTGAGGGCAGGCCTGCAGCTGGTCAGTAGCTCTCCCCCAGCACAGGGCCCGTGTGTGGCTTGAGGTAGACTCCCCAGCAGCTGCAGGCTCCTGGGGACAGGAGTCACGACCCATGGTGGCAGGGAGTCTTTTAATGCCTCAATTTTCCCTTTTTTAAGAAGGGCCAGAGGCCAGTTCCGGGGGCTTCCAACCTCCTCCTGACCCTTTGCCCCAGTCTGGCACCGAGACCCCTGCCTTTTATTGAAAATCCTCCCCAGGGCGGCAAGGAGGAGCCCCGACACGAAGGCTGGTGGCCCAGCCCGCTGAGCCGCACCCGCAGGGTCCACACCTGAGGCGGTGGCCGCCGTCTCCTCGGCCAGGAGCCACTCCTTCTCCTGCTGCAGCCGCTGCAGCTCCCGCTCGTGGTGCCGCTGCAGCTCCTCCATCACCTGCTGGTGCGAGGACTCCATCTCTGCCAGGCTGCGCTCGCACGCCTCCTGTGGGCCGGGGGCCGGGAGGTCACTGGCTGCCCCCACTCCTGGGACAGTGGCCCTTCCAGCCTCCAGGCGGGAAGCCTCAGGGGCAGGTGCGCTACCTCTCCCTGGACCCCAGCACCTCTGGCCCCCAACCCCACCGCTCCCCATCCGCAAACCTCGCCGAGACTCAGGCCTCAAGCCCTCTGGGGGCTCCCCATCCTGTCGGGTCAAGTTCCTGCTCCCGCGGCCCACCCTGTGGTCCCATCCCTGGCCCTTGTCCACCAAGCAACCTCATAGTTACAGAAAACAACTCACAGCATGTTCATACCTCTGAGCATCAGCTCATGCTATTCCCACTACCTGGAATGTTCCTTTGGCAACTCTCCCTTCCCAGGTAATTCACTTCATCTGCAGCCCAGTCCCAATGCCTCTCCTAGCTCTGTCTCTGGGCAGCCTCCAAAGGTTCTGCTTCTGCCAAACCATATGTTCCCCAAGGACAGGGAATATCTCACCCAGCCCAGTGCCCGGGGCGCGGGTCAGGGCCTGACTCAGGCAGGTGCTCAGTAAATGAGCTGAAATGGACGATTCAGTATGAAATGGGGCACAGGAGACTAGACTGGCGAGTATATAAAAGACTGATAATACCCACTGCTGGGAGTGCCCACCATGACTGTCGGTGGAGTGGGGGGCAGTTTGGTGGCATCATCGCATTTGTAATTCCATTGACCTAGGAATTCCATTCCATTCCTAGGAATGATCCCACAGAAAGCTACATGTATACAAAGACTCTTGGACAAGGCTATTCCCTATGGCAACAGATGAAAACTGGAAACAACCTAAATGCCTAGCAGGGGAACCTTTAAATAAATGATGTGGCCTCACAAAGGACCCAGGCAGCTGTTAAAAGACAGAGCTGCCCGAGTGCCTGCTGTGGAAAGGCATCTGGAAAGACAGGTGACGACTGGCTTCTGACGACACACATGGAGTGACCCCACACAGAGCTGTCTGTGAATGCGAAAGCACAGGCGTCCACGCCCTTCTTCCCGGAATCGGCCATGAGGTCACAGCGTGGCAAAGGGGAATTCGGGCTGCAGAGGGAATTAGTTTGCTAATCAGCTGACCTTAAAAAAAAGCAGGAGATTATCCTGGATCATCCAGTGAGCCCAAGGTAATCACAAGGGTCCTTAAAAGCGGGTGAGGAGTGCAGACGCGAAGCGTCCGAGGGAGGCGTGACCAGGAAAGAAAGGCGAGCGATGCAAAGGGAGGACTCGACTTCCCCTCGCAGGCTCTGAACATGAAGGAAGGGGCCCCGAGCCAAGGAGTGCGGGCGGCCACCGGAAGGCAAGGACGCAGAGCCCACGCAGAGCCTGCAGAGGGACACGGCCCTACCGATGCCTCGACTGTAGCCTGGCAAGGCCGTGTTAGACTTCCAGCCAGCACAACCATAAGGCAATACAGCTGCGTTATTTACGCAGCTGTGGTAATTTGTTGCAGCTGCCACAGGAAACAAATACAGACAGGCGGCCACGGTCACCAAGGTGACCCCTGGGGGAAGCCAGCAGGAGAGGGAGTTGGCGTGTGTTCATTTCCAATCTTATAATTTCTATGAATTATTTATGAAACTGTAAACATATTTTTACATAATTAAAAAACTGCTTGAGGTCATTACAAAGGGAAGGGGGAGAGGCAGGGAAGACCCCGAGGCACAGACGGTCAGAGGGGGGATCCTGTGTCCCCCACGGCTCAGGCAGCTGCCCCGGGCTGCCGCGGGTCAGCTTGGGGGGAGGGCAAGGGCCAGGTGTTCCCAGTGGAGGTGTCTGCCCACTGGGCCTCTGCACCTGTCCTCTGTATATCCCCCCACTTAGGACAAAAACACTTGGCTTTGGAGTCGCACAGACTAGGTCCTAGTCCTGGCTGCACCTTGGAGTGACTCTGAACAAGCTCCTGCCTCTTGCGAGCTCCATCTCAGCATCTGTGAAACAGGCCTCCTAAGAGCAGCCTTGAGGCCCCTGGGCACAGGCAGTCCCTGAAGTGAGCAGGGAGGGAGAAGGGAAGCCACCACGTACCTGTGCTGAGCCTGGCAATATTGGGGCCATGGGGACTGCTGCTCTTCAAAGGGCCTGGGCGGCACCTAACAGGGGTGCAGGGCTGATGTCTGGAGGGGGAACCAGCTCATGGAGGGGTGGAAGGGGGCTCCTAGGCCAGGTGCAATAGGAGTGAAGGAGGCACTAAAGTCCAGTGGGCAAAGCCCCAGCGCTCCCCGACAGCTGTCCTGCAGTGGCAAGCCCCCGCCCTGCCCTGAAAGAGAGGTGCCCACCCAGCCTGAGATAGCAGTTGGGCAGTCTCTCCCAGCTGTCACCTGTCCAGGTCCTCTGAGTTTCCAGCCGCCTCTTCCTGTGCCTGAGAGGGACCCAGATGACTCAGCTCCTCTTCTCTGACGCTCTCTGCATCTGGGGTCACTCCTGCACCCCAGTCTGCCGCTCTGCTTCCCAGTTATTCCCTTCTCGCCTCCCACCCCCCAGCTGTCCCTGCCCTGTCCCCCAACCTAACAGAGAAATGACAGCCTTGGCAGTGTCCCATGGGGCCCCTGGGGACCAGGAAGCCTGGATTCCAGGCACAGGCCTGCCTACAGCTCAAATGCCACACCCCTCTGTGGGTCTCAGTCTCCCCACCTATAAGCTGAGAAGCCAGAGCAGTGCTTTGCAAACCTCACCTTAGCAGCAGAAACCTTTCCCTAAGGAAATCTAAAGCAGGTTCTGAGAGTAAAGTGGACAAGGAGGGAGCAGCTCAGGTCTCTGGTGGGTGTGATCGGCCCACTCAGCCCCAACCACCGGAAGGCAGCCCTGGGAGCTTCCCTGGGGCAGTACAGCTGTAAGCCCCCTGGCTGGGGGCCTCTGAGGTCTTCGGTCCTCTCAGGCTGTGGTGTGGGCCCAACCCCCTCCTCTGCCTCAGGGGAGGCTTTGACAACTCCGCCCCTCCCTCGCCCACCCCAGCACCAGGCCCTGACCCTCCTGTCCTGTCTCGCTCCAGCTGAGCTCTCCATCTGCCACTCAGCCCTACCCGGCCCCTGGCTGTGTAGCGGCCCCAGCCACAGGGCCCCAGCGGGCACCCCTCTGCCTCCTGCAGACCCAGTGATCAGTCCTAAATTCTCCCTCCAGAACCCCTGGCTTCTTCTGCCTGGGTCTTGCCCCAAGTGCCCCTCCACTCCAATACACTTTCTTGATGTCACTGTCAGGTCCCAAACCCCCTAAAGTTAATGGAATGAGATTCTAACTCAGCTTGGCATTGGAGGCCCTGGGCTTTCCACCTCATTCCCCAGCCAATGCCCTACACACATGCCCTGCTCAGCTCAGTGCCCATCTTTCAGGAAGCCTTCCCCAAAGCCCCTCCCGTGACCTCCCTCTGGAAGCTTCTAGAAGGCTCCTCCTGCCCAGGGCCTGGATTCTAGTATTCTTTTCTCATTCAGGCTGCTGACTGTAGACAGCTGATTGTTAAATTTTTATAAACTTTTTGAAGTTATTATGCATGGCCATTATGAAACATTAAATTTATATACTTTTAATTAATTACATTAAAAACAAAATAATACACTCTGGGAGACCAAGGCAGGATTGCTTGAGCTCAGAGTTTGAAACCAGCCTGAGCAAGAGCAAGACCCCATCTCTACTAAAAATAGAAAAATTAGCCGGGCATGGTGGCGCATGCCTGTAGTCCCAGCTACTCGGGAGGCTGAGGCAGGAGGATGGCTTGAGCCAGCAATTTGAGAGGAAAAAAAAAACCAACAAGGTAATAGATCTCAAAATGTATCACTTCCTAATTATTTCACTGAATTTTATGTACTATGTGTCCTTGAGGTGATTCACATCTATTGTGTCTGTGTGGTAGAAATGCTATAGAATCGCGTGCCATCCCTTCCCAAGTCCGTGCTCAGGGACTTCATGCTGATAGCTCAACACCCATGCTAGCGGGAGTATTTACACCATGGAAATTGGTAAATGTTACAGATCAGAGCTTGATTTATTGTTCTGTTCATTGCCTATATTTAAGCAAGTGATGAAAACATGCTAATAATGCAGATTAAACTCAAAAGTGTGTCATATCTATAACCATTACATTGTAAATACAACAAAAAATTGCAGGAATATTCTCAATATTCTTAATAGAAAACTATTGTTTGATTCAGCAAAGAAGTTTCTCACAATATTGAACAAGTAAAGTTTCAACATATATCTTTTGTCTTACTCATAAGCATGAACAAAAACATTAACCAGCACACGTGTTAGAGCTACAGCTGTTTCTTAACTAGTTGTGGATACAAAAGTATGGAAAAATCACTGAAAGCATTCTGAGAAAGATTCATTTGTTATATGGAATTCACAATAAAAAGTATTATGTTTTTATTTGTAAATGTGTATTAAACATCCTTTATATCAGCAAAACTTATAATAAATTTATTTAAGTATATGTGTATGCACACACACACACACACACACACGCACACACATTTTTTCTGGATAGTTAGTTGTCCTAGTTGTGACAACCAAGTATTTCCAGACACAGCCATATGCCCCCAGGGGGACAAAATCACCCCGGTTGAGGACCACTGTCCTAGGCAGGTTGTGAGCTCCCTGAGGGCCACTGGAGGCTCCCGTGTCATTCGGACCTCCTTGTTGGGGGCCCCGGCCTGGCAGGTATGAGCAGAATTTCCCTGTGTTTAGGGAGCGACTCCCAGGACCACTGGCTCCCCACTTCCCCAGGGTGGTGCAGGGGAAAGGGTCCAAGTGCCGAGTGTCACACGGGGACTCACACACAGGCTCTGCAGTCAGCTGGCCCCATGCTCAAATCCCACCTCTGACACCTGCAGGCGGGGTGACCTCGGGCAAATCACATAACCTCTCAGAGCTCAGTGGCCTTGTCTGTAAAATGGGCACAGTGATCATGCCCACCAGCTGTGGGGAGATTAAAGGAAACGATGCATGTCAAATGCCTCACACAGGTTCCAACACACAGGAAGGGCTCCCCAAAACTGAGCTGTTTTATGATAACACGGCAACCAGAAACCTGTCCCCATTCCCCACAAAACAGCTCCTCAGCCTTACCTGGGAGATGTAGCCTGGCGGGGTGTGGCCGTCCTCCAGGGATCTAGGTGCGTTCTGAGGAGCCTCCCCTCGGAGACGCCATGCCTCCAGCTGTGCCCGAAGAGACTGCACCTGTGAGGGAGGAGGCCAGGTCAGTGGAGGCCTGGGAGCGAGGAGGGGCTGGGGCAGGCGGGGAGGGCCCACAGGCTTCCAGCGCCACATGGATGCCAGCCCAGCTTCCCGCTGTGCTTAGGAACAGCCCTGGGCTGGAGAAGGGCAAGCAGCCCTGGTACGGAGATGTAGGCATGGGGGACATCTGGCTGTGTCCCGCATGGCCAGGTCAACGACCTGGGACAGCCCTGGCCAAGAGAAGACTAGACAGGGTTGGGAGCAGATAACACGGTCAGAGGTATTTATCATATTATGTAAGTGGCAGGGGAAACAGCTTAGCGCCTCTATTTTCCCATCACGAGAACTGTGACGAGGTCCACACGGGACTGCTGTGAGGATTACGTGAGTCAATGTAGGTAAAGAGGGCCTAGGACAAGGCTTGGCACGTAGGAGATGGACAGTAAATGGTCTCTCCCTTCTCTTCCCCCTTTCCCTTCTCTGTGGCTGCCAAGGGCAGAACTAGGAGGAACAAAACAAAACAAAACACCAAGGTCCAGGGAAGAAGACTCAAGTTCAAAAGGAGCCTGAGGTTCCAGATAGTGGCTCAGGGGTGAGCTCCCCATCAATGTAGGTGTACAAGACAAATGCCAGAGCATGAATGCAGGGATTGGAGGGGTGCTGGTGGGCGAAGGGGCTCCCAGAGAGGCCAGCTGTTGTACCTACCTCCTTTTCCAGCGCCTCGTGGCTGTCACTCGAGGGCCCGTGGCGCTCCCCGCGGCTTTGGTTGAGCAGGGCAGTGAGCGGCACCCGCTTGTTCTCCCGCAGGGGCAGCTTCTCCAGCTCCTGCCACTTCTTCTCGATCTCCTCGCTGAGCCGGCTCTGCTGGTCCTCGGTGAGGGGGGCGCCCAGGCCTCGGCGTGGCCCCTCACCAGCGGGGACCTCGGGGGCCCTGCTGTCTGTGGCCTCAAACCACTTGCGCCGCTCCTCGGAGCGCTGGGCCAGGTCCCGCTCCAGCTCCTCCTGCTTGGCCAGGCGGTCAGGAGTTCGGGCTGGGGTGCGGGCCCGCTGCGGGGAGCCCTGGGTCAGCGGGGAGAGCTCCACGTAGTCCAAGGACTGCCGCTGCCCATCTGCCTTCCGAGGGCCGCCCCGGCCGATGACCTCGGAGCACGCCCGCTGCTCCCCCGCCTTCAGGGGGCCCTTCTGGGTGCCGTAGCTGTGCGGCGAGTTCTCCTTATTACAGTCCGAGAGCCTAGGGCACCAGCAGAGTCACGTCAGGCAGGACCTTGCCTGATCGGCCCCACAGTGAGCACTTCCGGAGCACCATCCCGGTGCCAGGCGCTGGCAGACCCCGGGGAGGAAGCAGCCCAACCTAGAGGCTGAGAACTCAAGCTCCATGGTTAGTAGACCCCGGGAACATCCCAGCTCCACCACTGCCAGCAGAGGGGTCAGGGTATCTGGCTTCCTTTGCCCTCTCTGAGCCTCAGTTTCCTCATCTGTAATATGGGACAACAGCTCACAGGATGGACGTGAGGACTAGGTGGGTGGATGTGGAAAGCAACCAGGAGGCCCTTTACAAAACACACTTTGTAAGCGAGTTCAATGTCCATGAGTTCAGCGTGTCAGAGACAGCGCTGGGTTCAGGAGGCTCACAGTGGAATGGGGGGATGCCCACGCTCACTGCTAAGGAGGTGAAGACAGGGACCCCTGGGTGCACAGAACACAAGTTGCTGAGACTGAACAACCATGGCGGTTCTCCTCTCCTTCCTCAGCCATTGCTGGGAACGTGGTCACCCAGCCGAGAACTACACTTCCCAGCATCCCCTGCAGCTACATGTGGCCACGTGACTACATTCTACCCAGTGGACATGGCAGGCAGCTCCCTCTAAAGGGCTGGGACTCCATGAGAACCTAAGTAGTCCCCTCTGGCCACACTGTGAGCTGAAGGCCACAGAGCTGCCCCACCAAGCCTGGACTACACACCTCTGGACTGTTCCTTGGGGGAAGAAATAAACATCTGTCTCGTTTAAGCCATCGTGTCTGGGGCTTCTTTGTTAAAGCAGCTGAGCTATATACTAAATAAGTCCCACTGCACGGGACTTCAGGGTTTACAAAGGGCTCCAGGCACATCCTCCCACATGCACAGACATGACACACCAACGTGACAAAGGAGGAATCTGAAACTCAGGCGGGGAAGCCACTGGCCTAAAGCTGAACAGCCAGGCTGTGGCCAGGTTGGAGGCCTCCAGCTTACCCACTTCAACACCACGCTCTGTTCCTGCTGCCCAGCAGCTACAAGTCCCAGGTCCCCACGGGCATCTTGGGGTTTACACGTGTGGGGGCCCTGCCAACTGGTAGCTCAGCCCTCCTGCCCTCAGTTACCCAGGGCAGCCTCCAGAGGGAGTGAGCTCTCCACCCCAGGAGGGGTGTTTACCAAGGCCAGACTACCTAGGCAGCCCTCTCCCTGACACCAGCTTAGACATGGCCCCCACAGCACAGAGACAGAATCGTCACCTAGCAGGGGCTTTTGACCCAAAAGCATCTTCCCCAAGGAGCCAAGGCCCCTCCTACTCTTCTAGGATGAGGGGGGATATAAAGAAATGGCAGATCAAACCTCAAATTCTTGATGTATTTTTGCATGAATGCCAAGAGTGCTCATTGCCTTCTTCCCATTTTGTTGATAGAGAAACTGAGGCCCAGAAGTTAGAGCCACAAGGCCCTCAGGTGAGTGCCCAGAACCCCACCCAGGGATGCACAGGGAAGTGCCTCCCTCAAGGCCCTGGTCCAGCTCAGCACATACTTGGTGACATCTGGGGCTGAAGCTGGACGCACAGTCTTCCTGAGAGCCTCGATCCAGTTCCGCCGAATGCCTGAGGTCATGGCCGACAAGGTATAGACAGCGTCCTTGGTCTGCAAGTCCACCCCATGGGTAGGTTGCCATATGAACAGCCCCATGGCTCCCTCCCCACCATGGACCCCAGGGAGGGTGGCCCTTCCTTCCCAGGAAGTTATTTAAGGTCTTGAGTCTAGAGCGGGCAGCAGGCACAAAACCTCCCTTCCACCAGCCTGGGGAAAAGTCCCAACATCTCCCTGGATAAGCTAATTTCGCCACCAGAGTTTGAGACTGGCTCTGTGCACAGGGTCTCTGGTAAATGAGCGAGAGGGTGACAGTCTCCATGGTGAGTCACCTTCAACACCAAAGCCTCCTCTGGGGCCTCCGGATATGCTGCCCCCCACCCTCATCCCCCACTCCCCCTGCACGCAGTCTCACGTGGATCTGGAAGCCATAGTTGCGCTGCACCGCGTACTCGGTGACGTCCGTGCAGGAACGCAGGTCGATCTCGCCATCCAGCTCATCGGCCTAGAGCAGGAGCACCCACCGTGGTCCACGTGGGCCCTGGAAGACCCACTCCACTGACCCTAGCCAGGCCACCCAGCCCCTTCTCGGGGTCCATCAGCACCGTATGGGGAGAGGTGCCCCACTGTCTCACCTCCTCAGCGGTGGAGTCTCTGTAATACTTGAGGCTTGAATCCGTCAGCACAAACCAATGCTTCTTCCACTGCGAAGGAGAGGTGGTGGTGAGCGAGGGGGAGGGAGGCTGCAGGGAGGGCGGAATGAAAGAGCCCATGTGTGCACTTCTGCAGGCGTCCTGGGCGCTGCCAGGCTGACCATTCTGCACACAGTAGGGGTGGGGCAGCAGTTTAGGGTCAGAAAACCCAAATCTGAGGCCTGGCCCCTCCATTTCCTCTCTGAGCCTCAGGGGCAGCATCTGTGAAATGGGTCAGCTTCTCCTTCATAACCCCACCTCCCTCTCCTTCTTGGAGCCCTTCTCTGATTTACTGATACTGCCCGACCCTTCCTGAAGCTCGCCAAGGCTCCTCAGGCAGCCCCTGCGCAGCACAGACCAGGGAGGGGTTGTGACCTGCGTAAGGCCACTTGCCTATCAAGTCAGGGACTCAGTGGGACCAGCACATTGCAAGTCTTTTTCCATATGCCCTCTGGATCTCCACAATGCTCAAAGATGAAGAGCTCCCAGAGAGCAGGATGGGAAGGAGGCCTGGGGTAGGCGCCAGTGCGCTGGGCACGGTCTGTTTCTTCATGTGCGTACTAGTTAGCCACACATGCAGCAAGCGGACGCACTAATGTATACACTTACGATCTGTGATTTGGGCACCTTTCTGCAGTGCCTCTCTCTGCTCCAGCTGGGGTTAGGTTGGCAGGACACGTAGGAAAGGGGTGGGGGCACCAGCAGAGCCTGATACTACCCCAAGCTCACTCCGCCTCTGGGCTCTGCTCACTCCACTGGAATGCAAGTTGAGGTCTGCCCACTGCCAGGGTCTGTGCATGTCATCCAGTCTCCTTCCCTCCTGGGGTTCCCACGCCATCAGGCCCTGGCCACAATGTTTGTTGCTTCAAGTACTTAGCTTTCTTTCCTCAAGAAGATGGTAAGATCTCAAGGGTGTACAAGGATGACACTTTCTACTTCTTTCCACACCGCTTCCCCTGAGAAACAGGGTTTTAGCACCCAACAGACCTGGGTTTCAGCGGCTCCCTGGCTACTGTGTGCCTTTAGGCAAGTGTCTCCACTTCTCTGAACTTCAGTCTCCTGACCTGTAAAGTAGAGCTACTAAGAAGTCCCTAAACCTTCTGCTGAGATTAGAAGTGCCTAACCCTCCCTTGTGTGTCTCTCATGGCACTTGGCATAGGGACGGACGCCAGGTTTTAGGGTCTGTTCTAGGAGGCGGGCCCTCTTAGCACCATTTTGCTCTGGCTGAGTGGACCAAGCGCAGCTAGGGCAGGGGTTCTATGCCAAATCATTTCTTTGGCCCTTCTAGGCCTAGTCTATGACTACCTGGGATGGAGGTGGATGGAGCTCTGTGGGTCTCAGGCACCCTGAATTCTAAGCCTGGGTCTGCCCAAGGTGCTGCTAAGCCTGGAAGACACGGCCACCCTCGTGGGCCTGTCTCCCATCTGTGCACCAAGGGGTTGGTCTGGCTGAACTCCCAAGGCCCTTCCAGCTTGGACATTCCAAAACCCTGTGAGAGAGGCTGAGTAACGGCCAGTTCTGGGTGGGGCCCATAATCCCTCTGCCCTCTGGGGACCCTGGGTGGGGAGGCCGGGAAGGGGTCACTGGCAGGGTGCCAGGCCTTGTGTGAGTCTGGACAGCAGCCACCGGCGGACGGGTGGCAGCCAGCGGGTATGGAAGGCTGTGGGCTGCAGGGAATCAAACATGTGGGCCGGAAACACAATGAGATTCCCTTTGGCTCTGAGCCCTCCCCGGCATGCGGGCCGCATGCAGACCTGAGCCACAGACGCATGCAGGGCTGGGGTGGGGAGACGTCCCCTCCCAGGCAGGGTGGGCAAGGAGCCAGTTCCAGCTTCCAGGCTCCAGCCTGGCCGCCGAAAGAGCAGAGCTAGTGAAACAGCCACTGTCCCTTCTGGTTCCAAGGGCAAATACAGGGAAGGGAAAAGTCAATAGGTGCCAAGGGCTGTGTGGGACCCCTTCTACGCTTGATCTCTGTGACCTTGTTATCCACTTTGGAAAGAGTCATCACTACCCATTGTGCCCATGTCACAGACGTGGCCACTGAGGCCTAGAGGCTCTGACTCAGCCAGCAGGGCCCTGGCTTACTGAGCCCCAGCCCTGTGGCCAAGTGTTTGGGAATCTGCGTGTGACAGCCAATCTCCGTGAGCCCTCCTGCCCAGACCTTGTTGTCCTGAGGTGTAATAGCCAAAAGGCCCTTGGTAAGAGCAGGGGGTGGGACACAGGGCATGAGGGCCTAGGTGCCTGGTGGCCTCCACTCCTGCCATGTATGACACTTTCACACACAGCAGGCTGCTCCAGGAGGCACAGAGATGACCGGCAGCCTCTGCCCCCACCTTGAACTCAGCCCCACACCCAGAGGCCAGGGTCTCTAGCAGGCTGGACATGCCTGGGACAGCACAGCCTCCTGGGCTGTCCTTGAGGGCCCCACATCGGCACAAACCAGTCTCCTCCCCCTTCCTCCTTGGCCCTCCTACCTCTCCAGGCTCGTCCAAGATGGACATCCATCCCTTCTTGAAGTTGAGCAGATCGGGCTGCGGGGAGATGAGGAGGCAGATGAGTCAGGCCCAGCAGGAAGCCAACTGGGGCTGGTGAGGAAGGCTTGCTATACCCATCCTGCCCCAAGTCCTGCAGGACTGAGGTCCTGGGAAGCCAGTCCAGAGGGCTGGGGCCCCCGTGACCCACCCACCCCCAAACCAAGCAGGCTCCTCAGCCACTGAGGCAGCCTAGGCTCCATTACCCCAAATCCAGCATTCTCTGGAGTCGTGAACACTGGGTGGCTGGCACATACACCACAGATGGCCAAGCTCCGCCACCAGCCCACCCCCTCATCCGAGAGTGGGAGAGGAGTGGCTGGGGGAATTCTCTATGAAGAGAGCCCCAGAAAGCCCAGAGAACAGCCCGGCCCAGCAGGCCTGAGCAAGCTGTCCAGCTCCTCTCTCTAATGCAGCCCAGGTGGCCTGCCAGGAACGTGCCCACAGGTCCTGCTCACCGACCCAGTGACCCGTCTGTGGTCCAACTAGTCCCACCCTTCTCTCCTCTCCTGGAGACCCTGGAAGGTAGAGCCAGTCCCAGGCTGGGGTCAGAAGCCCTTGAACCGCGCTAGATAGCTTTGGCAAGGCCAGGGCAATGGCACCTCAGTCATGGCAAGCCCTACCTTCCGGGTGCTGCCCAGGGGAACACAGCGCTGGGGCCTGGGGGCTCCCAGCTGCAGCATGTTCCACGGGGGCCTGTGCCAGGCACCCCCACCCAGGCCTAGATGAAGAAGCTGCTCATCCTGGCATTTTCCTGACCATGCCCATCTGGTGGGTGCCAGCCACCAGACCGTCCCTGCCTGGTGGGGAGACCTCTCTCATCTAGGTCCTGGTCCCTCTGCAGTGTCAGCTCCTGCCCAATGGCAAGGAAGAGAGCAGGGCGGGCCAGGCTGACAGGCAAGGAAGAGGCGGCCACCTGTTGCCATGGCTCTGAGCCCACCTATCAGCACCTGCATCACAGCCTTACCAGGCCAAGGTGTCTGGTTGCATGGAGGGAGCCGGTGGCATGGCTCAGTGGGGTGGGCAGCGGAGCGGCAGCTGGAAACCAGAGCCACCTGACCTAGCCACCTCTCCTGACCCGCCCTCCTCCCAGGGAGCCCTATCTCAGGTGGAGGAAGTGGACCAAGAGGGGCTTGGGCTGCTGTGGATTCAGAACCATCCACAGCCATGGTCAGGGGATGTCAGCAGGCTGGCAGCCTCACGCCCACCCGCTGCATCTCAGCCCCTCTCTGCATACCTGTCTGAGGGAGGGGACGCAGCTCTGCTCAGAGCTGGGAAACCTGGGGCTGTACTCATCCTGGCTGCTCTCTGTTCTGCCCGCCTGGTCGCCTACCTGGCACAGAAGCTGCCCAGAGTGGTCCCAAGCTATTACTGAAGACTGGTGACCACACCTGGCTCCACTTTCCTTCAGTCTGGGACCTCCCATGGCCCCAGGGCCTGGCATGGAGCCTAGCACAGCAGGCCTCAGGGAAAACTTGCTGAATAAATAACTACCCTCTTTTATTTCCCTGATCTAAACTCCTGTATTTTGGGGGCAGTCCTCCTACTCTAGCTTCCTGGGCCCAAGAAGCTGGCATCACTGGGAGGGCGAAGCAGGGTGGGTCAATTGGACTGGGCCAGGGCTAGGACAGCAGCCACGGGCTCCGAGAGGCTGGGGAAGGGCTCCCCACCTGAATGACAAGCTGGGACCTCAGGGGCTGCCTGGGAAGTGGAGTAGCGAAGACCTTCCTAAGTTACAGCCCCTTTCTGAGCCCTGCCTCCCTGGTGTGGCAAATGATGCGGGTGTCCCGCTCTCCCCCAAGCTTTCTAAGAGGACTGAATGTGCCTATACACGGAGAAGCCTGGTGACCCTCCAGAGGCAAGTACAGACACACCACACGCATGTCAGGCATGACATGGCACAGCGACTTTGGGGAGAGGAGGCCACCATTGAGTTTTTAAACCCCACTAGCAGGGAAACCTGCCCTAGGGCGGAAAGGTCTGGTAACCTGTATCTTGCTGCAGCCTCACACATGGCGCCCCCACCTAGGCCAAGGCCAGCCCCGCCTCTGGCCTGGACCACAGACACAGCCCCGCTAAGGACACTGCCAGGGGGACTCACTCAAAGAGGCCTAGCATCGCAAGCCTGCTTAAAATCTCCAAGGATGGCCCTAGGTGGCTTCAAAACAAAGTCCAGGCCGGGCGCGGTGGCTCACGCCTGTAATCCTAGCACTCTGGGAGGCCGAGGCGGGCGGATTGCTCAAGGTCAGGAGTTCAAAACCAACCTGAGCGAGACCCCGTCTCTACCATAAAAATAGAAAGAAATTAATTGGCCAACTAATATATATATATATAAAAATCAGCCGGGCATGGTGGCTTGTGCCTGTAGTCCCAGCTACTCGGGAGGCTGAGGCAGGAGGATCACTTGAGCCCAGGAGTTTGAGGTTGCTGTGAGCTAGGCTGACGCCACGGCACTCACTCTAGCCTGGGCAAGAAAGCGAGACTCTGTCTCAAAAAAAAAAAAAACAAAAAAAACAAAGTCCAGCTGCTTCAGGATGGCACAACAGCCGCAACGCGCCCTGCCAGCCTGGCCTCCCCTTGCTGAGCGGACCCCCATTTGTACCACTGCACAGGCTTGCAGATCACCAGCACGCCAGGACTCCCAGCCCTTCACAGGTGCCCGTGTCCTCTGCCTGAAACTCTGGGCTGCCTCCTTGCTGACCAGGCAAGACCCTGCTCAGACCTTAAGACCAGCTTAATTGCCATCTCTGAGGTCCCTTTCCCAGTGTGTACCACACGCCAGCCCACCAGCTGCCCCTGTGGTGCACCCCCGTCAGCCCCTTGGCGAGCCTCTGTGGCACCCCTGATTATCTGGAGGCCATGTATGTATCCCTTGAAGGCTAGACTAGATGCCACACAAAGTTCAGGACACACACTGTTCGTCCCCCAGGACCAGGCACAGACAGGGGGCTCAAGGAGTGTTTGTAGAAAAAAAGAACTTTTTAAAAAAGCATCAGACACTATTCTAGGCCAGGAAATCAGCTGCAAACAAGAGCTGTGGTCCCTGCCTGGTGGATCTTAGGAGAGACAGACAGTAAACAAGTGAGCAGGTGTATAATTTGATGCCCAGCATTGGCTGCGGAACGCGGCTCCGGGGCAAAGCTGCACCCAGGTTAAGGCAAAGGGGGAAAGAGGATCCTGACTCCAGGCCCAGCCCCAGCCTCACCAGTCACCCACTCACACACCTGTGCCACTGCTCTGTACAGACCCCTGAGCCCAGGGCATGGGGTCAGGAAGGGGACCAGGGGAGAGGAAGAGGGTGTACAGAAGGAACACCAGCTTGGAGCAGGCTCAGGTCTGGATGGCAGCCAGGGTGAACCCGGTGAACACTGTTGTTTTTTTTGTTTTTCGTTTTTTTCAGACAGGGTCTCGCTCTATCGCCTGGGCTAGAGTGCAGTGGTGTCATCAGAGATCACAGCAACCTCAAACTCCTCAAGTAATCCTCCTACCTCAGCCTCCTAAGTGCTGGGACTACAGGGCAAGCCACCACACCCAGCTGATTTTTCCATTTTTTGTACAGACAAGGTCTCGCTTTTGCTTAGGCTGGTCTCAACTCCTGACCCCAAGTGATCCTCCGCCCTTGGCCCCCTGAAGTGCTAGGATTACAGGCGTGAGCCTCCGTGCCCAGCCCCAGTGATCATGAGCCTCTTCTGCTCCAAAACCTTTCGAGGCTCCCCACCGCCCATGACCAAAGCCCATGCTGCTCTCCTGAGCGTAACCACCAGCCTTCGTCCGCACTGCTCGATCCTCCCAGAGCCACCTCCACCTGACAAAGTCCTACAGTCACAGGTGGACCTTCCTTGGGAAGCCCTCCTCCCACCAGCAGGGATGTGCTGTCCCTCCTCCAAGCACCCCACATGCTGCTTCCGGCAGCCTTACCCTGACGCACACACGCTGCCCCAGCAGAGGCAACTGTGTACACGCCTTATCTCTCCCAGCAATGAGAACTGGGACAGACCTGGATATAAATTCTGGCTCAGCTAGGGACCAACGATGTCACCTGGGGCATGTTACTTCACTTCTCCGCACCTCAGTTTCCTCATCTGTTTGATGGGGATGTTACCACCAATCTTACAGGATCAAATATGGTGATGTGAAGCACCCAATTCGGGGCCTGGCAGGCACCCAGTGGGCGAAGCAAACACCCTCCTCCTGGCCCCAGGACACTGACTCAGTTCCTCCCCCCACATCCCTCCTGCTCCTGACAGGGAAGGGGAGGCTGCTGACGACAGGAAGGGCCAGCAGGGAGGTGGCAGGATGTGCGGAGACTGAGGAAGTCCAGGCAGAGGCCAGGCCATCACACTCACAGGGCAGGGGCCCCGAGTGCCACGCCCCCCCAGCAGCCCAGCCCACTCCGCATCAGGGTCTCCACTCACTTGAAGGAGGACCCACTAGTGCACACACACACACACACACACACACACAGCCGGCTCATCCTCCCCCCAGGCGGTCAGAGCCTCCCTATGGTTCTGGCCAGAAATCAAAAGCAACCCCACCTCTCCCTTCCAGAACATCATGGTCAGGAGGCCAGACTGACCTGGAAAGGGGCTACTCCTTCCCTTACACTTGAGGTGACCTCAGGGAACTCACCAATGCCCCTCCCACGTCTCAGTTGATCTTGCTGTGAAATGGGGAATACAGTGAACTCAGCTGAGAGGCTCAATATGATAATTAAGGCACAGGAATTGATAGAACTTGGGTAAAGCTCACCCCATAAGAAAGGCAAACCCCTGCCATCGCAGGCCCGCCCCACCCCAGGCCCCGGCGCTGCTGAGGGAGGTAAGCAGGGGCAAACCGGCATCCCGCGCTCAGACGGCCCAGGACGGCTCCCAGACCGAGGGGTGGGGCGGTCCCGCCCTTTCTCACTCACCCAACCTCGGGCCAGCGCCCACGCAGGCGGCCACCCTTCCCAGGCCCGGGTCTCCGCGACCCCTCCGAGCCACGGAGCGCCTGTCCCCAGCCCCAGGCGAGACCCCAGCCCCAGGCCAGGCCCGTTCCTCCCGCGGCGCGGAGCCCCGGGAGCCCCAGGAGCCCCAGGCAGCTTGGGGGTCAGGTCTTCCCTAGGGGACTGGAGGGCAGGTGGGAGAGGGTGGGCCGAATCCGCCCGGGACGGGGCAGGAGGGGCGGGGCCGGGACGGGCAGTTCCCACGTCTTGAGGTCGCCTGGGTTCCCAGGGGCGAGTCGGCGAGGGAGGTGCGGGGGCGGCCGCGGGGAAGGCGGGGCAGGTCTGGCCGCCCGAGCCCCTAAGGTGGCCCAGTGTTGCGGCCAAGCGCCCCCGGCAGCGGGAAGCGAGGAGGGGCCGGGAGGGGCGGCAGGCCTGCTCGGCCGGGCGCGCAGGGCCGCCGGGGGCACTCACCGTCATGGCGGCGCCCCGGGGCGGCGGGAGCCGCAGGCAGCGAGGTGCGCGGGGCTCTCGAGCCGGGCTCCGCGGCGCGGCCGCCCCTCTCGGCCGCCCGCCGCCGCTCCGCCGGCCCTGCCCTTCCCCGGCGCTGCCCCGGCCCCTTCCATCCGCCCATAAAACTTTTTTTTTTTTTTTTTCAAACTTCCTGGGAGGACCCGGGCGGGCCAATGGGCGGCGGGGACGCCGGGACAAACAGCCGCGGGGCGGCGGGCGGGCGGGGCCCTGCCGCGGCGGGAGGCGCGCCGAGGCGCCGCTGCGGCGGATGGGGCCGGAGGAGGGGCCGTGGGCGCGGCGGCGGGGGCGGCCGGCTCGGCCGCGGGCGCGTTGGGAGGAAGGGAGGGCCCGGCGCGCAGGTGACTCCGTCCGGCCAGGGGCGGGGTTGGGGGGACAGGGAGTGGCCTCTCGTCGCCCCGACGACGCTCCCCGCCCAGCCCGGGCCGCCCGACCGGGACGTGGGCAGGGCACCCCGTGCTAAGGACTCAGCAGGTCCCACTCGCCGAACCCCGCTGGTTACCTGAGTAATCGACGTTTGTCCTTATCACATACCTGAGAAGGAAGACTGCTTGTCCCCATCTCGCTAAGAGAAAACCGACGGACTTTCAGAGAGGTTACCCCCCCGCTTGCCCAAAGGCACACAGTAAGAAGAGAGGAATTTCCTAGCAAGTAAGCTGGACGCAAAGTGAGGTCTTGAATGGTAGGGTCTCCCGCAAAGCCCACTCCTCACAAGCGGGTCCTTTTGGGTTAAGGGCATCGTTCCGGGTTCTCAAGTTTCCGGAGTACTTGCTTGAGGACCTTTGCCTGAGGGAGTTAGTCCTGCAGATGAGGAGGGACCTTGGTGGAATGTGTTGCAAAATGCACAAGGTAATAGTGGTTCAAGCCATGTGTTACCTTAGGCAAGGTACTTAACTCCTTGGTGCCTGCCACATTTTCACCCTCTGTAAAACGGGGTAATGCTATTACCTTGTGAGGTTGCCTTAAGAATTAGGTGTTCGCGGTGGCTCTCGCCTGTAATCCTAGCACCCTTAGAGGCTGAGGTGGGTGGATCACTCGAGGTCAGGAGTTAGAGACCACCCTGAGCAAGAGTGAGACTAAAAATAGAAAGAAATTAATTGGCCAGCTAAAAATATATAGAAAAAATTAGCCTGGCTGATGCCAGGGCACTCTAGCCTGGGCAACAAAGCAAGACTGTCTCAAAAAAAGAATTAGGTGTTAATTCTAGTAAAGGACCTATGACAATCTCTTTATTATTGGTTAGCTATCCTTAGGGGCCAGGAGCACTTGCGATAATGGCCATTTCAACTACTCTGCCATCTTGATTTGGGGTTCAAAACTTATTGCTCTTATAATTACTAACCTCATTTTGCAGATAAAGAAATGGAGGCCCAAGGAGCTGAAATCCTTTCCTAACATTTTCTTCTGGGAGGCTCTCCCCCTTTAGGAATGAGGCTATGGGTAAGTCCATCTAACTCTAGAAACTGGCCTTCTGGCACTGGTGCTGAGTTTTCCCACGGTACCCCTGCACCTTACTCAGGTATTCAGTCCTTGGGAGAGTGAGTGAACAAACAGAAGATCTCACCCACCAGCAAGGTCCTGGCCTAGTGGCCTCGGACCTAATAGCATCAGCCTCCTGGTTGGTTTCCTGACCTCTGGGACTTCCCTTCTAGTACCCTCAACCCAGTGCCCAGACAACTCCCTGCTCAAAGTTCTTCCATATGTCACTAGTGCTTATAGATCTGCTCCACGTTCCTGTACTAGGCAGCCAGCATCCACCACAATCCGTCCCCTGCCTGCCCTCCTCCATCCTTCCACACGCACATTTGACATGACAGGGACAACCACGCTGGACTCTGGGGAATTCCCAGGATGAGCCAGGTCCTTTGTACCTACTCACTGCACATGTGCTTTGCCATGTCTGGACCACTTCCCTTCCTGTCTTCTGTGCCCCAACACATACACAATCACGCACACACTCATATACTCATTCTCTCTCCCCACACCCCCGTCTAAATGTTTGTTTGCCTGGAAAATTTCTCCCTTCAAGTCTCAGCCCACAGGAAGTGTACAGCAGACTTAGAAACTCCTTGTCCAGTGCTCCCTGCATCAGTACATTTCCCCACTAAAGGGATGACCACACTGTGTTCTAGCCAGTTACATGTCAGTGTCCTCACCTGACTGTGCTCTTTGTGGGCAGGGCTGGAGTGTTTTTTGTCTGTATCTTGGCAGCCAGCCCAGGGCTTCAGCCCACAGTACATCCTCAGTAAACATGGGTCAAACAAATGAATGCACAAAGGAGGGGACCACAACTCATTCTGGCAGGACAGAGACGGCACAGCCCCAGGAGTGAGTTATTAAACTGGTAGAGACCAGAGTCACAAACTTTGGGGTTATCCAGCCTCCAGCTGTTACTCAGTTGAGGATAATGAGGTAAGGCTCAGAGAAGGGAGACAGTGGCCTATAGCGTGCAACATGTTAGAGGCAGGACAGAACTCTAGGCCAGGCTTTCTGGCTCTTGGCTTTGGGCTAATTTCACTACTTCAGCCCAAGAGATGGGCTGTTCTAAGTAACTGTTTGGGAAGCACTGCTGGCAGTTCCATCCCTAGCTGCTGACTTTCCTCATTCCCAGATGAGAGAACAACTGCAGTAGTACTCACCAAGCCTCAGTTGTCACATCTGTGTAATGGGGAAGATTTGCAGAGACTCTAGGGACTGCAGGAGGGCTCAGGGCAATGGGGGAGGGGGTGCTGTAAACATTTGGCTCTGAGGTCAGCCAGCACAGGGTTTGAATCTCAGCTTTGCCTCTTGCCCCTTGTGTCACTTGGAACAAGTGACTTTTCCTCTCTGAGTCTCATTTCCTCATCTGTAAAATGGACAATATGAATCTAATCTCACCTGGTCGTAAGGATCAAATGCAATCAGGCATGCCATGCACTGAGCTCGGAGCTAGGCATATAGTAGGTGCACAATAATTGCTGGTCATCACCATTATTATCCCAGAGTGCTATTCCCTACTTCTCTCCCCCTTCTCTCTACTGAGGAGAGGACTTTCCTGGCCCCACCTGCCAGACATGCTGTATGTTGGTGACCTTTAGTTAGTCTGATAAGGGAATGCCCGCCCATGGCTTGAAGGCACCAGCTGGGTGCCTTAACCCTCAAAGAGCAGCAGGAAGGAAACTATAGAGTGGATGGGAGAGTTAGTGCTTGGACAACCTCCCTCCGCACTGACTTCTGTGCATCCTGGTCTCCCCGAGCCCTCCCTGCATCCCTGAGAATCTCTGAAGATTTTTCTCCAGTAGACAAATGTGGCAACTGAGGCTCACAGGTGAGAGTTTGGCTGCAACCCTTCTCTTATCTGAGAATCATGAAATCAGCTCCTGTACATGCTAGCTGTGCAGCCTCAGGCAAGTCAGCTGACCTCCCTGAGCCTCAGCCCCTTCCTCTGCACGCTGTCTGAGCATGCCCGGCCTAGCGCTGGACCCAGAGCCTCCAGTAGTGAGCAAGAGAGTCAGCCTGTCACCGAGAGAAGAGACCCCAGGAGCCAGCCTGTGGCCCTGCAGATGTGAAGGGGGTGGAAGGGACCAGTCACAGCCCACAGCCACCTCCCCACCCTGCTTTTGAGGAAACCCCAACCAGAGGCCCAAGTGTTTACAGCCTCTCCGGGCAGGGGAGGGTTACGTAAGGCCAGATGTTTGTGAAACTGGCTCAGGCCCAGGTCTGCAACTCACTTTGCAATCCCAGAGTCCCCTGATGGCCACCCTCCCTTCTCCCCTTCCCCCACCTGGCTCTCCTGGGCCCAGGGCTGGTGGGACTTGCTGATTGGAAGCTTTCAGCTGTGTGATTATTCCATCACCCCTCACCCCAAAAGCCAACACCCCCAGCCCTGCACTGGAGGTGGGGACCCACGCACTTGCAGAGACTGGGGAGCCTGAGAGCTCTGCTTCATCTCTCCTTTCACGTGGAGGCCCCACAATCCTCCGTCTCAGCCCCCACACTCTCTTCTTTGCCTAACACCAACCTCCTCCCTCCTCTCGCCCTCTCTATCCACCCTCGCCCCTCCAGCCCCCGCTGGAGCCAGCCTACCCTTTGCCACCTGAGGACCCCCAGAGACAGCAGGAACGGATTGAACAGCGTGGGCCGGTCCCCGGGCATCCGCCATGAGGTCACCAGTCGGCCCTTGAGTGGACTCCCAGCCTTGCCCTCTGCTGGCCTCTTGTCTGCCTGTCAAACAGGGTCCAGTGTTGGCCCCAGGTCCCTTTGGCGGGATGGGGGCATCCCTGGCTGTAGCCACCCCTGCCCATTCTGCCATGCCCCCAGCAAAGACCCAGGGTCCCCATCTTCCTCCCCTCCCAGAGCTGCCGAGGACAGAGCCGGGTAACTGGTTCTCACTACGCTGCCGGAGCTCCTGGGCTCAGCCCCGTGGCTGTGCACCGCACCTGGACAGTCTGACCCCGGCTGCCAGTTTGGGGGGGGAAGCAGACCACAGGTGTGTGTTTCACCCACATGGTGTTTTCATATTATTTTTCATTAGGTTCCAATGTTAAATAATTAAGAGAGTTGATGTATAAACATGTATTTCCAGTTCCTCTTGAAACATCTAAAGATGTGGGCAGTCTGGGTCCATCTTCCCCATGAGCAACCATCTGGATAGAGCCAAGGGTCACACAAGTGCCCCCAGGCCCACCCTTCTCACCTTTGTTAGCTGTCTGGCCTTCGGGGCCTTAGGTTGTGACCCGAGCTTGAGCGAAAGGAACGAGTCACACACTTCTGCAGACACCCCCAGGCAGAGCTCTAAAATACTGCCCCTTTAGAGTCATCCTTGTTGGGGAAACTGAGGCCCCAGCAAAGCAGAGAACTTGCCCAAAGTCATATAGCAAAGGTAGGCCAGAGCCCAAGTGTCCCAACTCTCCAGAATCTGCAGGTTCTTTGGAAGTGGAACTTGAGGCACCAAAGCACAGTTCCAGGAGGGCTTTGGGGAAAACAGTGCCCCACCCTGCTATCATCCCCTGGTCACAATCCCACCACCAGCTATCTCATGAGACTGAGCTCCCTGGTGGCACTCTCACTCACCTCTGACTCGCACACAGGCATACAGAAGGTGCTCACTAAGGGCATGTGGGTGTATGTGAGGGAATGAATGAGGCAATGATCAATGCTATCCAGCTGAGGCTGCCTAGAGGAGGATTGAGAGATTTTCTGTGTTGCTGGGACAGCCCCATTTTGTGGAGACTAGAGGGGGCCCTCGTATTGCTCTTTCTTCTTTGCGCACAAACTGCCTCCAGGAAGTGTGAAGAAATAACCCAGAAAGAGGAAGAGCAAAGTTGTCAGAGGCTCCACAAAGGCTGAGAGCACCTTTCCTGATCAGGGTTCCCATCCCCTCCCGATGTCACAGATGGGAAGACCCGTCCCCCTGAGTCATAGTACTGCTGAGCGAGGCCACACAGGAAATGAGGGCAGAGCCAGGCAGCAGTGTGGTGGGGAGGGGGTCTTGAGCCCTGGGTTCTAGTTTGAGTCCAGCCACTGGCTGGCTGTGTGACCTGGCACGACTCGCCTGCCTTTGTTTCCTGTCTGCACAGTGAGGGGCTGGGCAGAATCTTCCCAGCTCTGATTAGCAGCAGGGCCAGGATTGGGGGCTCCAGGCTGCCAGACAAATGCTCTCTGTCACACCTGGCTTTTCAGGCGGCAGCACGGGGAACAGGAGGACAGGAAAGCACAGCCCCAAATAGTCCATCTTGTTCCCCCACCCCTCCCCCCCAGCTTCCCAGGGCCCTCAGCTCTGACCTCACCTCTCCAGAGGCTGAGGGTGATGAGAACAGTCTGTTTGGCAGGTCTCGGGGAGGGCGGGGCAGAGCTGTGCTGCCAGCTGCAGCCAGGCCTCGGAGCAGCCTTGGTGGGTCCCGCCCCCTGCACACATCTGTCCTACCTCCAGGACCCTGGGTCCCTCCAGGGCCAGCTGACTGTGGTACCTCCTCAGCCCTCTGACCCCAGCTCCCAAAGCCCTGCTCGTTCTCTCAGCCTGACCCGGCCCACTAGAACCAGAAGGACCTTGTCCTCAGAAACCATCAGGGCCAAACCACCAATTTCCCAGGGAAAGGCAGTGACCTTTTCAGGGAAGTCCAGCAAGTTGGAAGAACAGCCCTGGGCTTCTGACCCCAGGATCATCCATCTACCCACATCCCTGAGCCAGAGGTGACTCATGACCGGCTCCTCCAGAGCCCCCTCTCAAGCCCCCCATGCATACAGATGACCCTGTGGCAGAACCAGCCTCAGTCTGGATGACCCAGAGCTCTTTCAAGGAACTCAACCCATCTCCACCTAGTTTCCCTTCCCTTCCCTTCCCTTCCCCTCCCTATGTGCCCATGCCCATGACCCAACTACCGAGTCTGCCTGCTTCTGCTCAGTCAGGAAGTCTTGGCCTCTGCTTGGTTCTGAGTCCTCAGGCTCCTCTGGCTGGAACTGGAGAAAGGCAAGGACACAGCTTAGCCTGGCTCACTCCCCGCGATCCATCATCTATTTACTTCATCTATCCATTTATCATCTATCCAGCCAGCATCCAGCCAGCATCCAGCAATGGTAGATCCATGTATCCATCCAACCAACCATTCCATGTGCACCTCACATCGCCCACCCTCTCATCTGTCCGACATCCACCATCTGCCACCCGTTCATATACCCATCCTCTATTGATCCGTCATAACCACCCACCAAACACCCATGTACCTTCCCCCCATCCACCCATCGTCCATCTACCCTCCAACATTCATTCACCATCCAACATCTGACATTTATCCATCCATGCAGCATCTGTCCATCCACGTTCCACCCAACACACATCCAGCCATTCAGCACTATGTACCTACCCATGCATCACCTAAGCAACATCTATCATCTGCCCATCATCTATTCATCACCCAGCTATCCATCCATCCTCCACCCATCTGTCATCCATCCAACCCTTGTCTGTCATTCATCTCACATACATCATCTATCTGTCACCCATCCACACAGTCATCATCCGTCTTTCACCCATCATCTACCCACCAATCCCTCCATTGTCCGTCTTGCATGTACTCAAGCATCCATGTATCCACAGAACTGGGCCCCTCCTTTATGTCAGGCCCTGGGATGGGGCCAGAGGTAGAGAGAGAAAATAGGCCCAGCTCCTGCCCCTATGGAGCTCATGTTTCTTGTAGGGAAATGACAACCAGTATGACAGACGGAGGGAAGCAAAACTGCTAAGCCCAGAAAGGGACCATCGCCAGCCTGAGGCTGGGTCGAGTATTCAGGAAAGGCTTCTCGGGAAGGGGCATCTGACCTGGGACTTGAACAATGAATAAGCGCTTGGTGGGTGGAGAGGGAAGGGAAGAACATGCTAGGCGATGAGAACAGCATGTGCAAAGGCAGGGACATGTGTCCCCTGCAGCCAGCTTAGCACAACAACAGGCAAATCTGGCCTGGAAGGAAGAGAAGAAGGCCTTGCACGTCATGCCAAGGGTGTCGTAGAGGGGAGCACCTGGTACTCCCACCCTCCCCAGTCACCATTCCCTGGCCTCCCAGGACCCCCAAGCCTCACTGGACAAACTCCAGTGCAAAAGTCTTTCCAACCCTGCCTCCCTTTGGACCAGGCCTCCACTGGGACACAGCAGCTTGTCCTCCCCGAGCTGCCGTGGTCTGCTTGCCTCCCCAGCCGGTTGACAGCAGCTTCAGGGCAGGACCACGCTGGCTCATCCCTGCACTTCTGGTGTCTGTGTACGGAACTGATGAGAGGGTCAACTGATAAAAGCCATAGGGAAGTACGAGGGGTAGGGTGTCCCCAGTCCTTCCAATGAGTCCTCCCATTTTTGTCATCTATACAGTGGGGACAGTGCCTGCTGCCTCATATCCACCTGAGACACATATGGCAAGACATGTAAAGCAGCGCCCAGGGCCTGGCACAGGACACACGCTGCTGCCTGGAAGCTGTGAACATCTGGGGAGGAAGCAGCCTGACTGCATTGAGGAGATGGGGAGGGTTTGGATGGACAAGCAGAGTCTCCGCATCACCCAGTGGTGCCTGTTAGAGAAGCACTTGGTCCCATTTTACAGAAGGAGACTGATGCCAAGAAAGGCTGGTGTCCAAAACCACATGCCATCCTCTTGGGGAGCTGATGCCAGGCCGTGGGGCTCTGAGCTCCAGGACCCCCTACACACCCTCCCTCACCTTCAGATACATGCCCTGGGCTTTGAGGCAGCACCAAGGTACCACTGAGGCGGCAAAGGGTGGGCGCCTGCCTACTGTGTGTCGGGCACGTGGCCTGCTTTGCATGCGGCCCTCATTTGAGCAGCCTGTCTTGGCAGCCAACTCAGCCAGTGAGCATTTATGCAGCCTCTTCCCTGTGTTTGAAAGGAGCTGTAGGGCCCAGAGAAGGGTAAGGGAGGTTGCCCTGGACTCAAGAACTTGGGGTACAGCAAGGGGAAGGGGAGGGGACATGACCACATTGGCTGTAGTCCCAAGCAGGGGAACCAGGTGTGGTGGGGCCAGGTGGGGAGCAGGCCCTGGCCACAGCATCTTGCTTGGGGCCTCAGGTGGTCTACACCGACCAGACCTGGGTTCCATGCCCCCACCCCTCACTAGCTGTGGGATCTAGTGGCAAGTGGCTTAACCCTGTGCCTCAGTGTCCTAATCCATAAATAAATGGTGTCTTTCTCATGAGGTTGCTATGGAGACTAAATGGGGAAAGCACATACAAGATTAGGGCTTGGCATGTAGTAAATGCTCAAAACATGTCGGTTATTACCACTGTGGGGCCAGTTTGGTGGTCGGGGTGGGTCCGGGTCAGCAGGGAGGACGAGGGCTGAGCCTGAAGGGCGTGCAGGAGCCGAGGCTACTCAAAGGGGAGGCCTTTCAAAGGGGCCTTGTCTGGGATGGGTGACTTTCTGGCTACTTTTCAGAGGTGAGACTGACTTACCTCCAGCTCTGGCAAGCTGGGCCGTCTGGGGCTGGCCACAGTTGAGGTCTCTGGTCCACCTGTCACTTTGGTCTTTGGCCACTGGGTGGAGGTGTAGGCAGGGCTGGGCAGCTCCGGGCTGTGTCCATTGACTATGGTGGCCTCAACCCAACCTTCAGGCTGGCTGTGTTGCTCTTGCTCCAGGGCACCCTTTGTGTCTGGGGTACCTGGCTCTGGCCCCGAAGCCTTGGCCGGGTCACCCCGGCGTCCAGCAGGGTCCTTGTGGGGCAGCCGGGCCTGCAGGAGCTCGAGGAGGCCTTCCCAGTCCAACCTCGGGAGACGGGCCCACGTGCCTTCTCCAGGGGCGCGGAGAAGGCCCAGCAGGTCAGTCCAGTCGAGCTCAGGCTGCCGCTCAGGGCCGTGCGGGTGTGGGCACGCTCCCTCTGCCCCCCAGTCCATGGCAGTGGCTGGCTCAGGCTGCCGGGGGTGTGAGAACTCTGCTGGCCCTGCCCAGGAGTTTTCTGGGGGGCTCACAGGCTGGTGGGGACTGGATAGCTCCTGCAGGCTGCCCCAGGCCCTCCGGGCTGGCTCCTTGGGGGGCTCCCCCCAGGCCTCTGACTGCCCCCAGCTCTCCCTACACTCCCTCGGAGGTCCTCTCCATGAATCCTCCGAGGCTCTGGCAGCCCCCAGATTGGGCTCCCCACGTCCTTGCCAGCCTCCAGGGCCCCGGCCCTCCTGGCCACTCCAGCTCCGCTCCCTGGGCCTGTGAGGGCACCTGGACCCTGGCAGTTCCTCCTGACTCTGCCACCCCCCCAGAGGCTGCCTTGGGCCTGCTCGGCCACTCTCTGGAGGTCTCTCTGTCCTCGGCTCCCTCTCAGGGGGCCTAGCTGATATCCTGGGGGACAGCGAGGACCCCTGGAGCCGCCGGTCCCCCTCAGACTGCCTCTCAGGACTCCTGTGATGAGGGGGCTCTGCTCGGCTCCGCCGGGCTGGTTCTGCCTGTTTGGCAGGGGGCTTGGTCACCTGAGGATGAGGTGAGGGGGTAAGGTGAGGTTCTGGGTGGGCTGGGTGGCCTCTGCATGTCTTAGCCCGGCCCAGGAGGGGCAAGGCTGTCCCCACAGCAGCTGGGATTAAAGCAGGTTGAAAGTGCATAGGGTCCCTGGGTTCGCTCTGGGGGGTCAGCTCTTTCCTTCTCACCTGCTTTTCTCAGTTCCAGGAAGAGATCTGCAAAGAACTGCTCAATTTCCTGGCTTCCCACTCCCCATAAGATATTGATTCCAAGCTGGGGTATCAGGTGCTAGAATTTCCACCACCGATACCCCATTCCTCTGTGGTGGGCCTGGCCCTCTAAGTTTCTTTATAGATACAAATCCCACCCCCACCCCCAGAGATAGAGCCTTTGGGGCCAGATGTATCTGAGGCTTTCCCCAAAATCTTCGCAAATTAGCAGGTACCTAATGAACAAAGTAGACAGCATGGGAGCTGTCTTCAAAGGACTAATTTGGGGTCCTTTGTATTTTGCTAAGAGCTACTGCCCTTGGGGAGAGGGGTAGCTGGAGAGCTGGATGCCCATGACTGGAGCTCTGACATGTTCATAGACGACCCCCCTGCCCAGGACCCTTGCCTGGCACCTAGGGGGAGGGGAGAAGCAGTGGCCGCCCCTGGGGGTGTCAGGGCTGAGTGGCAGTGCTCACCTGCCTGCTGGGGGCAGGGCTGGACTGTCTTCGGAGAAGTTGGCTCTGACCTTGGCTGGGCCGCTGCAACCGTCCCTCGTCCCGGGCCTGGAAGGCCCCCGGTGCCTCGGACTTCCTATGAGCAAATGCAGCTGCTCCTCTGAGGGCCTTTGGGACTGTCCCACTCCCAGCACCCGAGCCCCTCCACTCCCGCCACCCCCAGGAGGAGATGTAGGAGATCCTGGGACCCACTGCAAGCTCATTGAAGTGCCCTTAGCGAGGGCTGGCCTCAGTTTCCCCCTCTGAAAAATGGGGGGGTGGTCAAGACCTCTCTATTCTGCCTCCTGAGGCTGTTGTGAAGATGGTCTGAGAAAAGGGGTGAGTAAAGGGCAGTGGGGGGGGTCCTGGCCTTGGCTGCCACAGCTGCCTCCAGTCTCCTTCAGTACTTCCTGCTACCACCACCCCAAGCAGCCCAGATAAAGGTTAGACTGGTCCTTGTGATAATTATGATTTATTGAGCACCTACTGTGTACCAGGCACAGTGCACACATCATCATTACGGCAAAGATTTATTAAGCACTTCCTATGTTCCAGGCGCCAAGCTCTTGTAACATGATCTCACGCAACCCACGTGGTAGGGCCGAGAGCAGCAGAATGTCATCTGCCCTCACTGTCCATTCTTTCTGCCCTTTTCCTGTCCATATTGTATGTTTTGGATTTCTCTGCCTTTTTTCCCTCTCGGTGCTAACTAACAGAATTCCAGCACTTGGCCTTTAAAACTCCAGGCCGTCCTAGTTGTTGGCAAAAGTGCTCTCAGCATGATCAGAAGGCAGAAACGTTCTCTCCTCCCGACAACTCCAGAAAGGCCAACGTAAACCGTCCAGGCAAATGTCATTTCTAAGACACCTGGACTTCAGGCGTTGTTGCCCCATCTGACGGAGATGATCTCTAACCTGTGTAAAGAGTCTCTAGTCCCAGGTAGTCATTCTGCCTAACAATTGGGGGCCACAGCTATTAACATTCAACTTGCCATCTCTGTTGCAAGGTGGGAGGACTAAACAGAGTCTGGGCATATCTCTCCCCTCCCATACAGTAAGGGGGTCACAACAAAAGACCCAACTGCTCTGTGAATATTTATTTCCATGGAATTTGCGAGTCTGACGTCAGCTCAATTGGCAAGTGGAGCCGTGTCTCTGGTGGCTCCAAATCGGGAGGAGAAGCTTGAAAAAGACGACCCTGGGCCCAGTGGAGAGCCCAGAGAGCCGGCCACAGCCGAGGTAAGAGGAAGCGCTGCACAGACCTCCATGGGCGCGACCCGCGCTCTGCCTGCAGCTAAGGAACCGTGTTGGGGCCACGCAGAGGCTTTGAAGAGTATAAAGGATGGGGTTGGGGTTTGTGTCGTCCCATGGCTTTTGCCCATGTCATTAGAATCAGATCCATAAAGTACGGTAATTTGAGTTTTAACAGTTCTTAGCAGCTGGTTCAGAGAGGAACCAAATTTCCCTGGAGGGTTTCTAAGCTTGAGGGCTCCCTGAGCAGGTTGAGATGAGTGAGTTTCCTTGCTCTGTGAGAGCTGAGGCCTTACAGTGAGTTTCCCCCAGAACTGGGGTGTAGGAGCCTCGTGAAGCAGAAGGCCCAGACGTGACTGGGTGGGAAGCTCCTCCCTGCTGGGGAGGGTGGGAGGAGAATGGTGGGAACCGTCCGTGCAGTACGGCAAGGCACAAGGGGTCTCTTTGGAATGGATGCATTTTCCTTACAAACTCCAGCTTGCTCGGTGAGCATTCCTGCTGAGAATCCTCCTTCCTTTTCTCCCCATGCGGAATTGAGAGATAGGAGTGAGGGACTCAGGAACATCCTGAGACCCCAACGGAGACCCCGCTTTTCTGATGCTGAAGCAACGGTGTCTCCTCGGGCCACCTGTTCCTGAGGGTTGGTGTGGCTGCATCAGGGATGACAAAGGAAACATGCTTCCTTTGGAAGCTCAGATGGGTTCTTCAACCTCCAGAGAGAATTAAAGGACCAAAGCCATCAAGCCTAGTAAGTCCGAAGACGGCTCTGTTTTGAATGCAAGAGACCACGGAAGGTTTATATGACGCTAAGATAAGAGATTCCAAAGGCATCTAAGGGAAAAAATTGAGACATGAAGCTAAAACTCCTAATGCTTTGATGTGATAGCCCTTTAAGAAAAATTTTCCAGGTTCACAACAGTGCTTGGATAGAGTAGATGCTCAATAAATACATGTTGGATAAAGAAAGGGGAGAAAAGCCACCCACCAGTCACCAAGGACAGCTACTTCCAATCTGTCCCTTACACAGATATTTTAATAGTTTTAAATATTTCATCTTTAGAGGGCAAATGGTTTTCTACCATTCTAGCATTTTCTAGAAAAATGCTATGTAAGAGGAAAAAATTTAATTAGTGGAGTTATAAAACCCTGATTAAAAAGTAAATAACCTACTTTAAAGACAGTAGAATAAAATCTGGAGATGTAAATAATTAAATGGTTCATAAACATGTAAACATATTCCTGATGTCTATTATAAATACTTTATCTCTCTAAAACTTATTGTCTACAGCCATACCACTCTGAATGCACCTGATTTTATCTAAAAGTTGTCCTGGGGGGGGAGATAAAAAGAAAAAAATTCACTTTGGTTTAAAAACCTTAGTGTCCCTGCTGAGTGATCAGATTAGACAAAAGTATGCAAACTGACATCAGGCTGAAAATAATAACCATAAAGAGCTTGAGGAGTCCACTTGCTCAAGACCTCTGGGTGTGGTTCCTGGCCATGGTCCTCAAATTTGGCTCAGAGTAAACCTCTTTATTTATGTATTTATTTGTTTATTTATTTTTTGAGACAGAGTCTCACTCTCTTGCCCCGGCTAGTGTGTCATGGCGTCAGCCTAGCTCACAGCAACCTCGAACTCCCGGGCTCAAGTGATCCTACCGCCTCAGCCTCCCAAGTAGCTGGGACTACAGGCATGTGCCACCATGCCCAGTGCATTTATATATATATATATATATATATATATATATATATATAATGCAGGTTTATAGATATATATATATATAATTTTTTTTTAGTTGGCCAATTAATTTCTTTCTAATTTTAGTAAAGACAGGGTCTCACTCTTGCTCTGGCTGGTCTTGAACTCCTGAGCTCAAGCAATCCTCCCACCTCGGCCTCCCAGAGTGCTAGGATTACAGGTGCGAGCCACCGTGCCTCAACCAAAACCTCTTTAAATTATTAAAAAAAAAACACACAAAAGTTCAAAGACATGGAGGCCTTACAGGGCGGTGACACCACTCCCTATGATACCACAGTGGTGGATACTTGTCACACATTCATTCAAACCTGCAGTGTGTACAACACCAAGAACGAACCCTAATGTCAGCCATGGACTTTGCGTTTGGGGTGATTTGTCAGTGTAGGTTTCTGGATAGTAACAGATGTACCACTCTAGTGTGGGATATTGACAGTGGCAGAGGGTGGGCGTGGAACTCTGTTTTCTGCTCAGTTTTGCTGTGAACCTAAGATTGCTCTAAAAAAAAAGGTGTATTTTTAAAAAGGTCAAAGAAAGAATTACACGAATGCTGGGACTATATGGTTGTCCCATATATACTAATATACTAAATTTAGTATACCTGAATACTAAATGGATCAAGCTTACTGGAAAGGGAAACTAGAAGAATAAGAGATGAAGTTTCTCATGCAGATTCAAATCTAAGAGAAAAGTTGCAAAGAGAGGAATTTTAGATACTAAGTATTAGGCTGGTCACGGTGGCTCACACCTGTAATCCTAGCACTCTGGGAGTCTGAGGTGGGCGGATTGCTCGAGGTCAGGAATTCAAAACCAGCCTGAGCGAGACCCCGTCTCTACTAAAAATAGAAAGAAATTAATCGACCAACTAAAAATTATATAGAAAAAATTATCCGGGCATAGTGGCGCATGCCTGTAGTCCCAGCTACTCAGGAGGCTGAGGCAGAAGGATCGCTTGAGCCCAGGAGATTGAGGTTGCTGTGAGCTAGGCTGACGTCATGGCACTCACTCTAGCCTGGGCAAAAAAGTGAGACTCTGTCTCAAAAAAAAAAAAAAAAAATAGATACTAAGTATTACATATCCCTTCAGGGTGATGGAAATATTCTAAAATGAGATCATGGTGATGGTTGTGCAATTTGGTAAATATACTAAAGTTCATTGAATTATACACTGAAAGTTTTGAGACTTCCAGACCACTTTTTGTTGTTCTCTTGACCCTAACTAAGGGAATTTTAGGTCTGATCCGGTTCCAGGCTGGAACTGCTAGGAAAAGAAATCTCAGGCGGATCAGGAGGAAACGTTTCCCCTTCAGTGGTGTGTATTAATTGCTAACTAAGGAGACTCGTACGACAACTGGACTTCAGGCGTTGTCATTGTGTCCCTAGAAAGTAATATTTAACCTCTAAAAAGTCTGTAATGCTGTGAATTCCATTTAAAATATGTGACTCTGGCCATATGTTTTAAATCAGCATCTCTGTTTTCTGAATCACATAGGGACCCATGAGTTTTCTTTGCTAATGTAGCAAAGAATCGTGGACATATTCTTCTCCCTCGTGCAAGGAAGAAAGAAAACCAAAATAAACCTATGAGTCTGGATCAAACAAAGAGTTTGAGAGTTCAACCTCATTTAAATTAATGTGGTAAGGTTCTTCCCCATTTTACAGATGAGGAAACTGAGGATCAGTTAGGGTAAATCACTTTACCAGGTCACACCAGTTGGGAAGTGGCTTTTACCCAGGATTTGAACTCAGCCCGCCTGACTCCAGTCTTGGCTCTTAACCATTAAGCTACACACAACATCATTTAATCCTCAAAGAAATTCCTTACATGCAGAAACAGAGAGGTGTAGTGACTTGCCCAAGTTTGCACAGCCAGTAAGTGGCAGGGCAGGGGGATTTGAACCCTTTCTTCTGGCAACCTAACTCTGAGCCAAGCCTCCTCCCCAGCCCACCTGGGTGACCCCGCCCTGGGCTCACCTGCGCTCTTGCCCGAAGAGGCGCTCCACCTCTGCCCGGCCTGGGCTGCGGGTGCGGCCGCCGTTGCTGCACTGTGCCTGGGGCCCTGGCTCTCTCTGGGCCAGCCTCCTGGGTGGTGGCAGGTCGGCCAGCACAGTGTACTCCTCCCTCTCCAAGTTGTGCCTGGTCTCCCCGGGGGGCGCTGAGCCCCGGGAGCCCCCGGAGCTCCCTGGTGGAGGTGAGGGTGCCAGGAGCGCTAGATCGCTGGGCGGGTGGCGGGGCGGGGAGGAGGCTCGAGGTGCATCCCGGTGCCCGATGCACACTTGGGGGATCAGCACCGGGGAGCCATGCAGAGAGTCCGTGGAGGGGGCCAGGCTCTCCATACTAGTCCCAGGGGGGTCCTGGAAGAAGAGGGAGGGCTCAGGAGCCTGGCGTGGTGGGGACGAGAAGGAGGGTGCATCCCGGTGCCCAATGCACACAGGAGTTGGGATGTGGGGGGGCTCATGCAGAGAGTCCGTGGAAGGGACCAGGCTCTCAGTGCTGGCCCTGGGGAGATCCTGGAACAGCAGGGAGTGCTCTGGGGCCTGGCGTGGGGGCGAGGAGGCCCTGGGTGCATCTCGGTACCCGATGCACACAGGTGGGGGGAACTGGGGAGGTTCATGTTGGGGGGACTGGTTCTCAGAGGCATCTGATGTGTCTGGGAGGAAGGGGAAGGGATCAAACTGGGTATGGCGGGGGGGTGAGGATGCCCGGGGGGCATCCCTGTGTCCAATGCACACAGCAGGTGGTACATAGGGGGGGTCGTGGTGGGGTGATTCACTCTCGGGTGCACGGGGTTCTGGGAAGAAGGGGAAGGGGTCGTGTTGCAAATAACGAGGAGGCGAAGAGGCTCGAGGGGCATCCCGGTGCCCGATGCACACAGCACACGCAGGCTGGGAGGGCTCAGGAGAGGTCTGGGGAGCAGCTTGGGGAGCGGGGTGCAGAGGTGAGGAGGTCCGAGAGGCACTCTGCTGGCCTGGGTTGTGGGAGGAAGAGGTGGCCCGGGACAGCGAGTTGTGCTGAGTGGGGCCAGAGGACTGGGGTGGGTCACACCGGGCTGGTCTAGTGGGAGATGAGGTCTGAGGCCTGTCACCTTGGGTTGGCCGGAGGGCAATGGATGCCCAGGGAACCTCGCTTTGCTTAGAGCGAGATGGGGAAGAGGTTCGAGGGCCATCACTCTGAGTTGGCCGGAGGGGGAAGGAGGCCCAGGGGATGTCTTTGTTAGTACGGTGGGGAGAGGAAGGCCTGGGGTTGTTTCGTTGAGCAGAGCGATGGGGAGATGATGGTCTGGGATTGTCCTTTTGGGTGCAGCATTGAGGGGAGGAGGTTCTAGGGTTGTCCCGTTTAAAGGAAGAGGCACGTGGGTTGTCCCGTTGGGTACAAGCAGTTCTGAGGTTATCCCATTTGGTATAAGAGGTTTTAGGATTGTCTCGTTGGGTAGAAGAGGATCTGGGGGTGTTCTTTTGGATACAAGAAGTTCTGGAGTTGTCCCGTTGAGCAGTTCTGTTGGGAGAGGAGGCTCTGGGATTGTCCCGTTGGGCACAGGATGTTCTGGAGTTATCTCGTTGGGTGGTTCTGTTGGGAAAAGAGGATCTGGGATTGTCCTGTTGGGCACAGAAGGTTCTGGGGTTTTCCTGTTGGGTGGTTCTATTGGGAGAAGAAGCTCTGGGATTGTCCCTTTGGGTACAGGATTTTCTGGAGTTTTCCCATTGGGTGGTTCTGTTGGGAGAAGAGGATCTGGGATTGTCCTGTTGGGCACAGAAGGTTCTGGGGTTTTCCCGTTGGGTGGTTCTGTTAGGAGAAGAGGCTCTGGGGTTGTCCTGTTGGGCACAGGATGTTCTGGGGTTTTCCTGTTGTGTGGTTCTGTTGGGAGAAGAGGCTCTAGGGTTGTTCCTTTGGGCACAGGATGTTCTGGAGTTTTCCCGTTGGGTGATTCTGTTGGGAGAAGAGGCTCTGGGGTTGTCCTGTTGGGCACAGGATGTTCTGGGGTTTTCCTGTTGGGTGGTTCTGTTGGGAGAAGAGGCTCTGGGGTTATTCCTTTGGGCACATGATTTTCTGGGGTTTTCCTGTTGGGTGGTTCTGTTGGGAGAAGAGGATCTGGGGTTGTCCCTTTGGGCACATGATTTTCTGGGGTTTTCCTGTTGTGTGGTTCTGTTGGGAGAAAGGGCTCTGGGATTGTCCCTTTGGGTACAGGATTTTCTGGAGTTTTCCCATTGGGTGGTTCTGTTGGGAGATGAGGATCTGGGATTGTGCTGTTGGGCACAGAAGGTTCTGGGGGTTTCCCGTTGGGTGGTTCGGTTGGGAGAAGAGGATCTGGGATTGTCCCGTTGGGCATAAGATGCTCTTGGGTTTTCCCGTTTGGGAGTACAAGCAGGAAAAGTTCCCGTTGGGTGGTTCGGTTGGGAGAAGAGGATCTGGGATTGTCCCGTTGGGCATAAGATGCTCTTGGGTTTTCCCGTTTGGGAGTACAAGCAGGAAAAGAAGATTGGGGGTTGTCCTGTTGGGCAGAAGAGGTTCTGGGATTGTCTTGCTGGGTGGCTCTGGGGGGAGAGGAAAGTTGAGGATTGTTTCGTTGGGTAGATAAGGTTCTGGGGTTGTCCCGTTGGGTCATTCTTGAGGGAGAGGAAGCTCTGGGGCTGTACTGAGAGGCCCTGGGGGTGTCCTGTTGGGTGGATGATGTCCTGGGATTGTCCCTTTGGGTGATTCGGGCAGGAGAGGAGGCTCGGGGTGTACTGCGTTGTGTGGAGAACGCCTGGGCAATGTCCCTCTGGGCAGAGGAAGCCTGGGGGGTGGCACTTTGAGGCCTGCTCTGTGGTGTCATGGAGGAAGCCGGGGTCAGTGCTGCCCGGTGCCGCTCCAAGGAGAAGTACCCGCTTTCTCCACGGAGCTTCGCCCAGTGCTGTCCTGCGCTCCGGCTCCCACCACCGGCGTCTGGAGAGAGAAGAGGAAGGTCCGAGGTAAGGGGAGGGGTCCGAGCTGCTTTCACATGCTACCTTCCTTTGTTCCCTGGGACCAATGACAAGGGCAGATCTCACACCCTCTTCTTAGAGTGAGACTCTGTCTCAAAAAAAGAAAAAAAAAAAAGGCAGCAATCTCATGGACAGCAGTTTTGACAATAGCTCATGTGACCCCAGAGTGGGAGAAGTGGACCCGGCGTGGCTACCTAACAACTTTCCCTTCTCAGTTCCACTTCCTGCTGTCAGATTCTGAGAGATTCCCTAGATTTCTGCTAATGGCCCTTCTTCATGTGTGGCCTCCAGAATGCTCCTGTTCCTTGTACCCAGGTGCTCCTACCACAGAGGTTCCTCCCAGGGCTGCCAGGAGGGTGGGATAGGCGAAGGGATGGACAACCTCTTGTGAGTCACCAGCTGGGAATCTGCTGGAAATGTAGAATCTCAGGTCCCACTGAGGACACCTCTGGGTGATTTGCATGCAACTTACAGTTTCAGAAGTGGTGGCCCAAGGAATTACTGTAACTGCCCTCAACAGGGACCCCTTCACAACTCCTATCCCATCATGGTGTCACTGGGACCTCAGTGTCATGCTCCACCCCCCTCAATCCCTCAGTCACTGAGCAGGTGTTGGCCACCAGCTACATGCATGTCCCTGAGCTGCTGCTTCAGGAGCGAAGTGAAGGAGCCACAACTGCCTGTGTGCATAAGATGCCCTGTCCATCCCTTTTGTAGCCTCTGATCTGGTGTCCCTGAAGTCTGAGTTTCCAACACCTTGCACCGATCTGAGCATGTGGCACACTCAAAATTTGCGCTGTTGTTGCCTGCTGGGCTGATGCCCACAGCCATCCTAAAATACGTGCTGTATCCACCTGCCCCTCGCATCTCCACTCCGCTCCCTACTCCAGACCACTGTCATTTCTCTCCTGGGTGGTTGCCGCAGCCCCCCAACATGTGTACTCTGGCCCCATGTCATCGTTCCAGCCAGGATGATCCTTTCTGAGGGCAAAGGTCATCAGATCACCCTGCTCACAGCCCTTCAGGGAGAGACAAGGAGAGATAGGAAACCTGTCACAGATTGGAGGACACAGAGGAGACAGGGTGACTACATGCAATGTGGGACCCTGGATTGGATCCTACAAGAGAAAAGGGTATTAGTAGAAAAACGTGAATCCCAATAGTCTTTAGCTTGGTTAATAGTGTTGTACCAATGCTAGTTTCTTAATTTTGGTCATTGTAGTTGGTTATATACGATGCTAACATCAAGGGAACTCTGGTGAGGGGTACGATGGAAACTCTCTGTGTGATCTTTGTAATTCTTCTATAAATCTTAGATTATTTCAAAACAAAAGTTTTGGCCAGGTGTGGTGGCTCACACCTGTAATCCTAGCACTCTGGGAGACCAAGGTGGGAGGATCATTTGAGGACAGGAGTTCGAGACCAGCCTGAGCAAGAGCGAGACCTGAGGTTGCTGTGAGCTATGGTGATGCCAGTGCACTTTATCCCGGGTGACAGAGGGAGACTCTGTCTCAAACAAAACAAAACAAACAAAAAGTTGTTTAAAAAACCAAAAAACTTCAGGGGCCCCAAAGTGCAACTGGAATAAATCCAGGATTTGCCAGGGCTGGGAAGGCTCTGCAGGGTCTGGTCTCTGCTCCCGCCCCTCCCAGCCTCAGCAGCCCCACAGCCCCCCCCACTCACTCTCCTTGCAGTTCCTCAGACACAGACGTCTCCCCTCCCCAGGGCCTTTGCTCCTGCCTCTTCCCTCCTCACTGGCTGGCCCCTTTTGGACTTGGGGTCTCTGCTCCAAGAGGCCTTCCCCGTCCATCTCCATCACCCTGTCGTCTCCTTAGTGTTTAACTGCTCGCTCCCCAGCAAGCTCCCTAGGGTGGGGGCCTTGCCTTCTTTTCCCTCCCATCTGCGGGGTGTGGAAGAGCACTCAGCTGCTGCAGGTGCTTGGTGCACATGGTGCTGCACCTTCCGGCTCTGCCTCCCCGCCCACTGGGCATGGGTGTGGCTGAGATGGTGTTTTCACCACTCCCAGGGAGTGGAGGCTGCCTTGAAGAATTGGCCCCAGAACCTTCTGTTTCCCACCAACTCAAGCCTCCTCTTAGCCTGGTGCACCCAGGATCTGACTTCATTCCTGCAGCCCCTTAGTGGGCACACAGCAGGCCCTCCAGATGTCTCTGGGCATTCTGTGCCCTGTCCCTGAGCCAGCTGGGCTCTGCACAGCCCGCCCAGTGGAGCCTGCTGTGCAAACCCGGAGGTGCCTGGAGAGAGCAGTGTCAAGGATCCAGCATCACAGAGCTGGCTCATTCCCCTGGGCCCTGGTCCCAGCCTGCAGTTCAGGAACCTGCCACCAGGTGGGCGGCAGTGACCGCCTCTGATCAAGTGGGTCACATAAGAGGCTCCCCCACCCAGGGCTCAGCATGTTTACAGCAAGTAAGGAATCCCGCCTGGACCGTCACATCCTTCGCACCCTGGGGAGGCATTTGGTTCCCCAGTGTTGTTACTTCTTTCCACGCACCCTCTTCCCTGAGCCTGATTCAGGCAGGGGGTGGCGGCAGGGGGACCAGATCTGATCAATGTTTTGAAAAGATGTGGGGAGAATGGCCCCAGGGGGGCAGGGCAGAAAAGAGAGACCTGGAGGAGGTCTAGGAAGAATCCCAATGCAGCCAGTGGCTTGGCCAGGAGTTTTGTGAAGATGGCAAAAGGGGACGGATTTGGGGTGCGTTTTGGACAAAGTGCTAATGGGAACTACCAATGACTTGGATATAACGAGTAAGGAAGGAGGAACTGGAATCACTTAAGATTTGGGGCCTGATCCACTAGCCATCCGGATGGTGACATCAAAACCAATTTGGAGGAGGACCAAGGTGCCAGCTGCCCCTGCACCAGCCTCCTCTCTACGCTCTCCCAGTTCCACCTGCTCCCACACTCCACCTTCCTTCCACTCCTCGAACCCCCCACCTCTGTCCACGCTTTAAGGCCTCTGCCCTACCGGCTCCCTCTGGCCACTGAGATCCCAACCTCCCAGAAAGGCCCTCCTTGTCTGAACAGTCCCTCTCACAGCCCCCATTATGATTCTCCAAGTAGCAGTTATCACACTCTGATTTTTTTTTTTTTTTTTTTTGAGACAGAGTCTCACTCTGTGGCCCAGGCTAGAGTGCCGTGGCGTCAGCCTAGCTCACAGCAACCTCAATCTCCTGGGCTCAAGTGATCCTTCTGCCTCAGCCTCCCAAAAAGCTGGGACTACAGGCATGCGCCACTATGCCCGGCTAATTTTTCTATTTTTTTTTTTGTAGAGACAGGGTCTCACTGTTGGTCGGGGTTACAGGTGTGAGCCACCACGCCCTGCCTCTGATCTATTTTTTTAAGGTGCTTTTCTGTCCGCAAGGGCGGGGCCTTGCCTGTCTTGTTCGCTGCTGTCTCTCCAGCACTGGACAGAGCTTGGCCCTGCTTAGTGAGTGATGCAGGAGTGCTGTGTGGAGCAGCAGGGGCTACCACACACCCGGTGGAGAGTAGGGTTGTAGAGAGGAGCTGGTGTTCAGGGAAGAAATCAAGGACAGACAGGAGTGGGGACTCAGGAGTCACTGGCTTCTTCCAGATAGTGCCGCAGGCTAAGCAGCTGGGTGTGTAGGAAGAGAACAGGAGGGGCCCAGCACTGGGCTCCAGGGCATCCGATATTTAAAAGTGGAACAGAAGGCCAGGCACAGTGGCTCAGCCTGTAATCCTAGCACTCTGGGAGGCTGAGGCGGGAGGATCACTCAAGGTCAGGAGTTCAAGACCAGCCTGAACAAGAGCAATACCCCATCTCTACTAAAATTAGAAAAATTAGCCAGGCTTTATGGTGTGCACCTGTAGTCCCAGCTACTCAGGAGGCTGAGGCAGGAGGATCGCCGGAGCCCAGGAGTTTGAGGCTGCAGTGAGCTATGATGACACCACTGCACTCTAGCTGTAGACGCTGCTGCTGTTTTCATCACTATGTCATCTTAGCCACGATCAACTGGTGGGCAATAGGTCAGTTGCTGAGCACCTCCCCTGTGCTCCATCCGCTGCCCTGGCCCTTCGCTGAGCATCCACAGCCTCGAAACCTCTTCCTTGGGGCGCTCGAATCCAGCACGGCCAGCCCTAGGCACATCCCCACCCAGCCCTGTGCTCTCAGCAAAGCGCACGGCCAGCCACATGGACGCCCGGGCCACGAGCTGCGACCGCGCATCCTCCTGTCTCGAATCCCATCAAGTCCACTTCGAAATCTCTCTCCTCTGTCCCCTCCTCACCCAACGCCCATGGCCCTAATCCAGGTTTCTCCCTCTAACCCAAGGAAGTTCAAAGGTGCAAAGGATGGATCGGAGCAGGGCGAGGCTGAAGGATGAGAGAGCAGTTAGGAGACTGCCTGGTGAACTTCCTAAGGCACAGGTCCGATTACATGACTCCCCCCTTCGAAACCCTTCTGTGGCTCCCTACTACTTAGAGAAGAAAGTCCAAACTCCTTGGCTAGGCCTCTGAGGCCTGGCACCGTGTGGCTCCATGTACACCCCACTGACGCTCCAGATGCTCCCGCAGTACCTGCCAGGACACTGCTTAGTCACACCTCCAATCCTTCACCCAGGCTGTTTGCTCGACCGGCAAGCCATCATTTGTCCAGAGGGCCCTCCTCTGAGAGCCAGTGATGGCCATGTGCGGGGTCCCAGGCCATCACCACACCCACAGTCACAGGAACCGACCCGCAGAAGGACTCACCCTCCTTCCTCTGGGCTGCAGTGTCTCCCCCGGCAGGCGACCTGGTGGGGAGAGAGGGAGCCCTTTGGGCACTGTCAGCTCTCGGCCCCTCCTGCAGCCTCCGCGGGATCATGGTGGTGAGCTTGTCCCAGCTGGGGGTCTCCTCCCGCCTCTTGACAGCGTCCCAGTCCTGCCAGAGAGAGGGAGGAAAAGTGGATTGGGGGCAGAAGAAAGGCCCCAGGAGCGACACTCCAAGCGTGAGGGGGTAGAAGGAAGGGAAGGGAGCTGACATTAAAAGAGCATTCACTGTATGCCCAGCATGTGCCTGTCATACACCTCCAGGGGCCGGAGAGAAGCGGGTTCAAATCTGAGCTCCACCACTTTCCGGACAGTGGCCTCAGGTAAGCCGCCTCCCCTCTCTGAGCCTCAGCCCCGCAAGGGGCCACACAGTCCCTCCCCTAGCAGGGGCGAGTCTTCCCTGAGGCCACAGCACAGTGAGGCCACACGCCTGCGGGCTCAGGTGTTTTATTCTGCGTCCCATCACTTCCCTGTCACTTTCCTTTACAGCCGTCTCACAGGACAGACCCGCCTCCTCTGCCCCCAGCAGCCCTTCCCAGTGTGAGCACTCGAGGAAGGGCTCCCAGGTCTCCTCTTTTCCTGGCTAGATGTCCCCCCAGTCCCTGCAAGACCCCCTCCGCGCCCCCCCCCCCGCTTCCTTTCCCCTTTCCCTTGGAATCCACGCCAGGGCTGGTCATGGGGCTTGGCAGTGTGTGACCAGGGCAGGGCCCAGGGGCCCAGTCCCATCCTTGCTCTGGTCGCCACGCCCCACACCCCACGCCCCACACCCCACGCCCCACACCCCACGCCCCGGGCTTCCGTGACCTGAGAGTTTTGGCAGCCTGAGCCTACTGCTGATTCTCCCTGTCCGCTGAAACTCCTTTCTCGATCTTTCCACAGCCAGACTCCCAGCCCACCCTGGGTTCCCCATGGAGACCCCTGCCCCTCCAGGTGTTGTCAGGGTGGCCTGCAGTGCTGGCTAATGGTCGGTCCGGTGGCCCTCGTCCCACTCCCTGGTATGAGAGCTCAGCCCTCATCTGGAGGTTTCGGCAGAACCTGGGGCTGGGGACCGAGGAGTGATCTGCTCTTGCCCCCCGCCCCCCAGGCCCCAGCTCACCACAGAGGACGAGTCGCTGGTACCATCAGGGGTGTCGCAGTCAGGGCTGGAGCTGGCGTCAGAGTTGGGGCCCTCGTTGCAGCTGCCACAAGGGGAGGAGGTCAGGTCCTCCAGATAGGGCACTGCCTCGAGCTCCCAGCTCCTGTTTCTGGGGGCGGCTGTGGGGCCCTCTTTGGGGAGCCCTGCCGATGTGGATAGGCCCCTGGGAGAGGAGACGGACCTATGATTTTTTCCCAAAACGTAATGGGGAGTTAGAGGGTGACACCCCCACCCCGCCCAGTACACTCGGTCACTCACACAGGGCCTAGAATCCACGTGTCAGTGTGGAAGAGAGGCTGACACCGAGGCTGTCTCTGGGCTAGGCTTTAATTTTATTTTTTTTAGAAACTAAGTCTCACTCTGTCACCCAGGCTGGAATGCAATGGCATGATCAAAGCTCACTGCGGCCTCGAACTCCTGGGCTCAAGAGATCCTTCTGCCTCAGCCTCCTGAGTTGCTGGGACTACATGTGTCCACCACCATGCCTGGCTAATTTTTTTTTTCTTTTTTGTAGAGACAGGGTCTCACTGTGTTGCCCAGACTGGTCTAGACTCCTGGCTCCAAGGGATCCTCCCACCTTGGCCTCCCAGAGTGCTGGACTTATAGGTGTGTGCTAGGCTCTTTATATGAGCTGCCCCATACAGCTACAACAGCCTCCATTTGAAGTAAGTATAATGATTCCCATTGTACAGATGAAGAAACTGCGGCTCAGAGAGGTCAAGAGACTAGCCACGGTCACAGAGACAGGAAAGGGAAGAGCTGTGCTGTGAACCATGACTACTGCCCCAGCTCCAACCCTCTGTAACTGAAGCAGGAAGACCCCAAGCTCAGTAAGACAGACTCATGCTTGGATAATTGGGGGATATGAAAGGCACCAGGGCTCCAAGGGCTGTGACAGAGTCACCAGCCTGAATGCCAAGGTATAGAGTTGCAGAGAAAGCCCTGCTTTAGAGAAGCTAAAAGAGGCTCAAAGAGGCTTAGAGCTGGCAGGATCCCCAAACAGTGACCCACAGATTGGCCTAGAAGATGGTAAGGGGTGACGACCCTAAAAGAGTTCTGTAGTCAAATAAGTTTGGGACATACGACATATTTCTCTGTCTTCCTCACCCAACACCCAAAAGCTACAATGCTTGTCTGCAAACTAAAGGCTCTGACAAGCCCTACAGGAAAGCTATTCAACTTCATTTATCTCAGACTTTCTGAAACATTTGATAGCAAAGCTGTGTTTTTTAAAAAAAAATAATGCCGGCCAGGCACGGTGGCTCATGCCTGTAATTCTAGCACTCTGGGAGGCCGAGGCGGGAGCATTGCTTGAGCTCAGGAATTCGAGACCCGCCTGAGCAAGAGCAAGATCCCGTCTCTACTATAAATAGAAAGAAAATTAGCCAAACAACTAATAGTAGAAAAAATTAGCCAGGCACAGTGGCATGTGCCTGTAGTCCCAGCTACTCGGGAGGCTGAGGCAGGAGGATTGCTTGAGCCCAGGCATGTGAGGCTACTGTGAGCTGATGCCACGGCACTCTAATCCAGGCTACAGAGTGAGACTCCGTGTCAAAAAAAAAAAAAAGAAAAAAAGAAATAAAGCTCAGAGAATATAATAGCATCTGTGTCATTCTAATTTAAGAAATGTGGAATAGGCCGGGCGCTGTGGCTCACGCCTGTAATCCTAGCTCTTGGGAGGCCGAGGCGGGCGGATTGCTCAAGGTCAGGAGTTCGAAACCAGCCTGAGCAAGAGCGAGACCCCGTCTCTACTATAAAT